CCCCCCCCCGTGTGTACGCCACTGGGCATGTATATTGACCATGCCGGCCAATCCAACGATTAAGAAAATGTCTGTAACCATGTCTAAATACTTCTCCCTTTTTATCTATTTTTAGAAAAAAAAATACATTAAAAAAGAATTTGTGACCATCTTTGAACTCATGTAAATAGGTACAAGACGTGGGTAAAAAATAACTTATTATATAAAGTATATTATACCTTAATTGTCACGCTATTCAATGCCGAACGGGGCTGTAGTTCGCAAAGTGGTTGTTTTCCAAAAAATAATAATTACTAATTAATTTACAAGATAAATAATAATTAATTAATTTACAAGATAAATTAAAAGACTGATAGAGCATAAAGCTAAGAGAATTCCTATAAGTCTTTGGCCTTTCGTATTCTGCTTTTAAACTACGTGGTGTCAAATATGATATTTTTAAATAAAGTTAAAACAATAAGTTAATATGGTTTAAAGTTGACTAAATTCGTCATTAAATTTCTACCACCCTGTATGAGATTTAAGTCATTTTGAAATTATGGCAGGGAAGCTTAGAGTTTTAGTTATGTCCCCTTTTTTATTATTTTTTATTTATTTTATCGCTCTAACTTTGTTATTGTAAAATATACATCTCTTTGAATTAGGCAGTGCTTTTTTAATATTTTTTGGAAAAATTATCAAGAACGGTTAACTTTAAGAGTTGGAAACTTTTATGAAAGTTCACCTAAAAATTGACGTACAATCCAAAATTGCAATAATATACAGGGTGTTCCATTTAAAATAGCGAAAATTACGTCAGCTTCCGGTATAACTGGAAGCGTTAGGTGGGCGCCATTATTTTAGTTGAGAAGGGCATGCTCGAAAACACTATCGGCCAAATTTCCAAAATTAAAATCGGAGTAGTCTCTAAAATATGTCTAATGTCTCGTCTCCGTGGGACGCCCTGTACATCAGTGTTGTTAGATTTTGACGTTCTGCTTTGGTTACCATGAAATAAGTGAAACAAACTTAGAGCTGATTGTTTTATTAGTCCTGGGGTTAATTGCTTGTTTTATATAATTTTTTAAATATTGCGTCAAAATACTCCAACGAAGATCCCTTCTGCTTCGACAAACTGAGGCGTCAGAAATACTCCATCCATACGCCAACAGTCGCTTAACACTCGACCCTTTGACGTTCAAACGCAACGAAAAAGCTAATTACACCCCTTTATTAAAATCCTCCAATCTTTTCCAGTCGATCCTGCGAACGGCGGACCAATTAAAGATCAAAGGCTTGTGCGAGTCGCCCGACGACAAAGAAAACTCCGAATCGCCCCTGCCCCTGTACTGCAAAGGTGGCAGGAAGTCCGCCTCCCCCAGGCACTTCAGGCTAGCGGACAGCGGCAACCGGAGGGCCAAATACCGCCGCACCAGCCTCCAGGAGAGACCATCGGATGAGACACCGGGCGGCTGCAGGGAGGGCAAAGCGCAGCCGGGCCACTCGTCGGATGAGGAAAATGACATGCCAGTAGCTCTGGATGAGCACAAGAGAAGCAGGCACCAGCCCGAGCAGACCAAACCACTCAACATGAGCAGCCATGGACTTATGACCGGACAGGTAAGTGTCTTTTTTTCGTCTTAGCAGATCATGTAGCAAGTGTCGCAGCCGTTAACAATCCAAGTCGAAAAAGTGGCCATAAATAATTTTTTAATTCTTCCAAAACTGTTTTGAGATATTGCATCGAGTCTTGCATCAAAATGATTGGAAAACAAGCGTCTGACGCATTTTGAAGATACAGCGTCAGTGGGACGAGCGACGACTGCTTCACTAATCCTTTGAAGTGGACTAATACAGAAATAATTTTAATGCCATAATTTACAGAGAACTATCTCTGGTAACGATTAGATGTCGTTAGTGGTGCTATACAGGATGTTTTTAAATGAAGTAGCAAAAATGATACCAGTGAATGTAGAGCCAAAACTAAAAGGATTGAAGTAAAAATACCTTATATGAAAGTTGCACCCCTGAGGCGATATACCCTCTTAAAGGAGGGGATTGAAATTCACATTTTATTTTTTTTCTTTAACATAAGGAATGCTAGAGACGCGAAACTTGGTATGAGCATCCTACTAATAAAGAGACAACTTTTCAAAATTTGTTCGATCATTGGCGTATTTTATAAAGGAGTCAAACAGTCAACCCCATTACAATATTTTATTAGAAATTTTTTATGTGAAGCAAATTATTTATTTAATAATATTTATTGAGAAGACTGATTTATTGCGCAACTTTTTTACCTCTTGTAATTTTTCGATAAAACCAATAGTTTTCTAGTAAAAAAATTAGATCCGTCATCGTTCACTAAAGGGGTAATTGCTAAAATTTGTAAAAATAAAGTAGGCGGATGTCATAACAAATAAATTGTTATTTATCATATTAATAAATTGACACTTTCTATCAATAAGCTGGCAATTTAATAATAACATTAAAAATAATTTGCTATTATTTAATGGAAAGTGTTTATGATTATGGCACATGTATTAGGTAAAGTTATTTATCTGAAATAAAATTTAATACAAACGAAAAACAAGAATTCCAAAATTAAATTTAAAGAATATTCTCGAAATAATTTCCATTTTGCTGCAAGCATAACCTAATACGTCTGTTGAAGTTATAACGCACTCCCACAAACAGTTCTTGGTTATCGCGAAGATCATCTGCTGCCTGAAATTTTCTTAAGCGTAGTTCTTCTAAGGAGGCAACAGGAGTGGCATAAACAATACTTTTTATGTGTCCCACAAAAGGAAATCCATAGACGTTAGGTCAGGTGAACGTGCAGGCCAATAAACCGGGGCATCACGACCACGACCAATCCAGCGATTCGGGTAATTTAAATTTAACCATTCTCTAACGGCAAGTGTACTATGTGCAGGCGCCCAATCGTGCATATATCACATCACCTGACATGTAACGAGGGATACATCCTCAAGTAATGTTGGAAGATTCTCGTTCAAAAATCTCGGCCACAAATACAAATTATAGTAAATTTATTACTACCAAAAGAAACTTCTACAAACTTTTATCATTTTCACTAACAGTATATAACAAAGTATTAATAATTATGGCGATGAATATATAAATATCTTCTGCTTTTCCTAGAAATTTTTCAATATAAAATTTTTCAATACTTTATCCAACAGCACAAATCAGTTGTATTGCCTAAAAAGTTATGACGGCGAAAACTATTCTTGAAACTAGCTCTAATTTTCAAACATACTGAGTGCCCCTCTCAATATTTCACCCACGAACTAACAGCGTACTAACCTACTAACCCCATTAACGTCCCGTATCTCTTTCTAAACTTTAGACAATCTTCTCCCAGTTCGGAGTGGACACCGATGACTTCCCCCCGGAACCTCCGGCACCCTCCGCCATCCCCGTCGGCCACGTGGACATGGCGGACCACTCGCCCACCCGTTCCCTCCTCACCAACACCCCTATCCATCGAACGGACATCTCGGACTCCACCAAGTACACTTTGGACATCAAAAAGGAGGCCGACATCAAGTTCGAAACGCTGCGGTCGTACGACCAGGACTCTCTTCTGGACATGGAGTCGCATATGTCCGGCCCTGACCATTCCATGGACAGCCACGACGATTGTGATAGGGGCCTGCATCCCAGCATGATGGTCCAGCAGGATTTCGTTGGAATGATGCCGGGCGTTTCGAATAGATTAGGTGAGAACGTGATGAAAATCGATATATATCGTTTCTACCTAGCAAAAAAATGGTAAAGACCAAAGATTCAGGAAATTTTCTTAAAAAATATATATATATTTCAAAAAACCGAATGTTGTATTTTGGAGATATAAACCAAACTCGAACACCCTGTATATTTATCATTTTTCGAAATCCTCTTTTTTGCCACTTGCTTTGATAACTTCTGCAATACACAATACACTTTCGGTTGATTTTTTGATCCTACGGTTTCAATTGTTAAATTTACGCAATGAATCCACCCCATTGATAGTTTCAGTTACGTTCAATATTTCTTTCCTTAGAATAGGCCATATATAGAAAAAAAAAACCTTATTTAAAAAAAAATTTCCTCTGTCTGAAGCACGATCTTAAATTTCATCAAAGTTAAAAGTTCGAAGATTTGAAGTAATTAGGTTTGTTAAATTTCAGTTTAAAACTAGGTTTATTACATAAATTTATTTTCGGACATAAGGACGAAAAAATATATTTTTTTAAAATTCAGTGGTATCGAGTCCAATTAACGTTTAATTTTGCAGATGTAAATAGTGAAGATCAAGTACCTGGAACCAAAAATAATGGCCATAATGAAAACTTGCAACACACGCCCCGGTCACACGGGGGCGGACCAAAAACTTGGACTCAGGAAGATATGGATATGGCCTTAGATGCCTTAAGAAATCATAATATGAGCCTTACGAAGGTAAAATAATATGAAATAATTAATAAAAATAAGAACACTCTACAATTTTTTGCCTGAGCAGGCTTAGATTTTTGAAAAAAGTGATTATTTTTTGTTATATCAGGAATATGTAAAAGATTTTTAATGAAATTTGGTACAACTGATAAATGAAGAGAGATATTTCAATTGGTAGAAATTGAATTCCGTTATTTTAGTCAGTGGCGTGCAGTCTCAGTTTTATTTAAAAAAATATAAAAGTTTTCATAAAAAAAATGTGTAGGTACTATACTTTTTCCGAAATGAAATAATAAAATAGGTACTGTCCAAAATCTATTAAGAACGTCTCTTATAACTTTTTGGAAATATCACTGTTTACAATTTGTGAAATGAGAATAAAAGAAAATCGTCTTGAAGTTTTAATAAAGTTGACCGCCCCATTCACGTGACTTAAATCCATTGGATTATTTTGTCTGAAAGCTCTGAACAGTGAGTGAAGGTAAAGAAATTAAGAAATTGATCTATTTTATTGAATTGGTTACTATTTGTGTTGAAAAAATTAAAAAAACTATTATTTTGTGTTTACTGAGATTTGGATACTTCAGCAGATCGCTCCAGTGCTTTTCTTAACCTCACATTCTTTCATCACAGCCTAAATTGAAAACACGAAACATTTGACCTTGACATTTCTTCTTTTTCTCTTAAGAACTACTTACATTGCACGAAATCTCAAATCTGAAAGTAGGTTACTACAATAAAAACTTCATCTCTAATACTTCACTTTAGTTTGCCTTTTAGTATTTTATTTACTCTCAGGATATATTTAGATCCACGAGTTAATTTAGTAGAACAAAATAATGAAATAGTTCATTTATTGTAACGGTGCATATTCCCAATAAAACTTTTATATAAAAAATTAAATCAGTTTTCAAAACTTCTTAACCTCACATTCTCCTCTTCTCTGATCACTGAAACTAAGGACAAAACGTTTCACCGTTATATTTCCTCTTCTTGTTCTGAAATTTGCGCAAAAATTCAAATCTCACGGTTACTACAATATAAACTTCGGTAATTATTTACTGTAGTGGCACCCTCTCCAATTTTCACAAAACTTTGTCAACTCCCCTATTTTCGATGGTGCTGAACACGAATCTGCAGTTATTTTTATGCGGTCGAACTTAGTTTTCGAGAAAAAAATTTTATATAAAAAATTAAATCAAATGTAACGTACTCAATTTGTTTTCAAAACTTCTTAACCTCACAATCTCCTCTTCTCTGATCACTGAAACTAAACAACACAAAACTTTTGACCCTGACATTTCTTCTTCTTCTCTTAAGAACTACTTAAATTTGTGCGAAAATTCAAATCTTAAAATAGGTTACTACACAAAAACATCATCTCTAATACTTCACTTCAGTTTAATTGTCTTTTAATATTTTATTTACCTCCAAGAGATGTTTAGATCCACGAGTTAATTTAGTAAAACAAAATAATGAAATAGTTCATAACGGTGCATATTCCCAAAAAACTTTAAAACTTTTATATAGAAAATTATGTTATTCCTTATCAATTAATATGAAAGTTTTGAGCAAATTTTCTTGTGCATGCAAAATTTGCCTAAAATCCGATTTGTACTCAGGCTTCGGCGACTTACGGTATTCCCTCCACTACTTTATGGCAAAGAGCACACAGACTAGGCATAGACACCCCGAAAAAGGAAGGACCAACGAAGTCTTGGACGGAAGAGAACCTCAACAGCGCTTTGGAAGCTTTACGGACCGGAACCATCTCGGCCAACAAAGCTAGTAAGGCGTACGGTAAGTAGCACCTTTTTCAAAAATAAATCTTTGAGATGAAAAAAATAAGGATCTTTTAGGTATACCCAGCAGCACTCTATACAAAATAGCGAGACGAGAAGGAATAAGACTGGCAGCCCCTTTTAATGCGGCCCCGACCACATGGACGCCGGAGGATTTAGAGAAAGCTTTGGAATCCATCAGGACGGGGCAAACGTCTGTACAAAAGGCTTCTACTGAGTTCGGCATACCCACGGGGACGCTCTACGGAAGGTGCAAAAGGGAAGGCATAGAATTGTCACGGTCGAATCCTACGCCTTGGTCGGAAGACGCCATGGGTGAAGCACTGGAAGCTGTGAGGTGAGTGTTTTATATCTGTATTGATAGACGATATATTTTTTTATATCTCTCCATGCCCTTGTTGTTCTCGGGCTAGGCTCTATGAGTTAACCGGTCAATAAAATTTTCACTGTTACTTTTCACGTTCTGAGTAATTTTTTATGGTTTAGCATCATGGGGATGTTTTTATTTTTATAGGTTGGGCCATATGTCTATAAATCAAGCAGCGATTCACTACAATTTGCCTTATTCCTCGCTGTATGGACGGTTCAAGCGAGGAATAAAATATGACTCGGATAACATTGAAGTAAATCAGGACAGTCAGTCGCAAATGGACGCGCATTCGTTCGGAATGGACTACAGCACCACCTCCCACCAACAAATTCAGTACCATAACCAGAATAGCTGAGACACGGCCTTCAACTTTGATTGCTTTTAATATTAACTTTCCTAGGAATTCGTAAGTTTTCGTTAGAAGCATCAAGGTTCGAAGGTCAAAACAATTAATCAATTTTATGCTGAATTGTCATTACCATACTAGGCTGTTGTGCTAAAAGTTACTTAAAGATTGTGAAGTTTCCCTATTATTTTTAATCAGATATTAGAATAATTAAATTGATAGCCTTGTTCCAGAGGTTTTATTGAAGAAGTGCAATATTATTCTATTTAATACTGTCTAGATATAGTGTACAGAATTGTATATTGTAGCTAATTTATTAAAAATTGTTAACTATTTTAAGTTTTTTTTCTATTTGTTATTAATTTTTTAATGTTGATTTGAAGATTTAAAATTTTTATTTTAAAAGTTCCCTCAAGGAATTTAATTTCCATTTACTTTTACTTGTATATGTGAAAATATGTTTTGTTTACTAATAAAGATGGATAAGTTCAAAGAATTTTATTGAAACATTTTAGAGGTGATGTTAAGCTAAGGACTTTTCCAGATCCAAAGATTTTGTAAGTATTTACATATATTAACAAAAATTGTAGGCTTTAGACTCACTCTCAACATTCATCTGTTACATCCACTTATTTTTATTAACAAATTGACCACTGACATTCACATGATTCTATTTTTAAAAACATACAGGTATAAAATGTGAAAATAATGTTTTATCACTTGCACGCATATGACAAGAAACGAAACGCCTAAGCTGGAGACTGATACATTGAGAAACGGATCTATCCAATCCTGGTCATCTGTCTTTTTGTATATGATAAACAAAAACAAAATACTAATTGGCATTTCTAACAGAAGTGTGTACGAACATAATAAACATTATTGGTACATTATACGAAACGAACGATACATTACAATTTTTATGTATAGAAGATTCACAAAATTATTTTATCAGCTAAAGCAGTTGTCTGCCTACTATTTTGGAGCTATGGAACAAATTGATTAATAGTGAGAAAAAAGTGCAATCTACTTTAACCAAGAGTTAGTTTTAAATAAAAATATTTCAGATTTCTGGATTTTCTTTAAAAGAAATACAAAATATCCAGTGCCTCTCACGACATTGAGAAAGTGAAGCTATATTCCTTGATTGATTAAAAAAAAGTGCCGCAGGCAAAAATTTTTCAAGGTCAAACGGCTTTAAATGAATCTGGAAATTTTTAGTTGCATTTGCAGTATTACCAAAAAATTGACGTTCACGAGGATTTTCATTTAAATTTTATAAAAAATAGAAAAATCCTTTTTGTCCTCAATTTTCCATCTGGAAAATGGCATTTCCAATAAAATACATACTGGATCATACGTAGGAAACATTTCTATAATTATTGATACAAAACAAATATTAACAAAGAACCGTATCTTATAAACTTGTGGGTACACATGCCGCAAGTGACCCATTTTTAAGTACAACGTCAATATAGCGCCATCCTGACACCATCCGGGACGCTGCAGGGTTACAAAAAAAGTCGACGGCAGAGTGGCGCCAAGGACCAAGTACTTCTGCGAGCGACTCCACGCCAAGACGACTCTCCAGCGAATGCTCGAACCGAGAACAAAACTTTTTCCACAAACTTAGTTTTTAATAAAAATACTTTATTGTACCGTTAAGAGAGCGTTTTATTTTTGCTGTACAACAAAAGCAACCCTCAAGTGATGACCCCGACATGATCTTTTCAAACGCTCGAACCGGCAACACGACTTTTTCCACAAACTTAGTTTTTAATAAACATACTTTATTGTACCGTTAAGAGAGCATTTTATTTTTACTGTACAGCGAAAGCAACCCTCAAACTGTTTAAAGGCAGCCGATGGGCAATGGCGATGCTGCTTCAATTTCCGCTTCACCGCTCCCCCACACAGTATTACTCACCTGTTGGCCGCCTCGTTGCCATGACAACCGCCATAAACAATGCTACCAAGTGAAGTGGAATACAAACTGATTTCGATTCACGTCATTTGCTTATGCTATTCGTTGTATGTACGAGGTTGATGTTCGCGCTCAACAAAAGCAATGTTTTTTAGAAAACGTTCACCACGAAACTAATCAATACATTTTCAATATAGAATTATACCTAAATTATAAAACTTATATAAAATTAAAAATAATTTTAAATTGCACAGCCAAACGGAAATTTTAGGTGAAGCAGTGCGTCACCTAGCGAGCCGCCACTGAATATATCGCAAATAGTTATGAATTTTCAAATATAGCTAGATTAGCACATTCCTATGTTTTGTGCTAACCACACAGAAACAAAACGAGTTTTTCTGTAGTTACCGATGTTAAAACAAAAAAGATAAAAAAATTGGAAGCGATTGCATCATTTTTAAGTGAAAATTATTGGTTATCATCCTGCTTAAATTTAATGAAAAGTGCCAATTTGTATAAACAAGTTTTTTTATTTATGTTTTTACACACAATTTATTTACGCTGATAATTTATTTATATTACATTAAAATAAATGAACATCTAAAAAGTTTTTAACAATTTTATTCTCTCGCCAAATCGTGTATATCATTAAACCGGTGTGAAATATTTTGCACTAGGGATTTTTAGTTATTTCGTATTTATCAAGTCAAATAAAACTGGAAATATTTGTTCCCCGTTTTACACAATAAGTACTGGACATAAATATACCAATTTTCCTGAGAAAAATCATCCATAAGTTCATGCAGCTGACGATTAAGTTGTGGCAATAGTGATTTTAATTCTTCCTCAAAATCTCCGACACACCATGCTATGCTCATATGAAAGGATGGGTTCTAAAAGAAATCGAATTAATTATCACAAAATAACTAGTTACAAATATTGTTACTTCGTAGAATGGTGGTAAATTAAATTCTGATAAACATTTGTCTAAGGATTCAACTAATTTTAACAGGGAATCATATCCAGTCTTAATCTGCAATCCTATAAACGTTCTCGTTCTCTCTTCGTTGCAGTACACTTTCAAACTATCGAAAAGTATCATAAACCTGAAATGCTAATTACAAATAAACGTGCAATAAATTATTTTATTAGTAACTCACTTCTTAATACAAGCCATTTTGGTCCTTATACTATTCGCAAATAAACTAATCCAGTGATGTTTCAAGACTATAGTTTTTGTTAAACTTATATGGAAGTTGTCTGTTTTTTTAATGTCCACATCATGTGTACATTTTCGTATGACATCAATTAATTCATTAATACCCTCATTTTCTTCATCTAGAAAAAAGGTACGATATAAAAAAAACTCATCATTACACTTCAACACCAACTTACAAGGTATATAAACATAAGTGGCCCAATTCCCTCTTTCGTGTGGAAAAGTTCTTAATTTTCCACTATGTAATAAAGGGTCATCGAAAGACTCTGTCGTTTTGTCATCACTTAAAAAAATATTAGGTACAGGTAACCTGCGAACAAAATAGAAGTAAAATATGTTAATATAAATTTGCCCATACCTTACCGTTTAACTTTTTTTGAATTTTCAAATTCTTCCCCTTCGGTCTCATGTAATCTTTTTACTGAAATTCCAGGACCTGGGTTATCTTCATCTGAACTATCCCCTCCATAATCTATCAACAAATTTAAGGCCCCCTTACTGTGCATTTTACACAACTTAGTTGTTTTATTTAAATTTACATGAAATCCTACATAACCTATACTTCTTCTTCTTCTTGTTGTTTAATGTAAAGTAATCTAGATCGTCCACTCTTATTCATCTTTACTATGCGTTGGATTCTTTAAGGCCAATCAGAAATTAGCATTTTTAAACATTAAATTGAGGAAAAAAGAATACGGCTCTAGTATTGGGAGATCCATTTTCTTAGAACATATACTACTGACTACTGGAGGGGAGGCATCGTCTCAGTTAGTTATCTCTCTTAACTATGGTCTCAGTGGCCGAAAGTGTAGCGGTTTAGAGAGAGAGAGGGTTATAGGAGGGTATTTGCTTTCTCTCTCTAGCAGCCCGCGATTGCATGTTGTTAGAGAGAGATAGCTTATTCATTCCTATACCCTATAACTATATGCCAATGGGACGCTGCCTCCAGAAAACCAAAATCTTTTATTTCACTTTTTCAACCTGCTTTTGAATAAGTCAGTCCATGGTTCCGGGAAAACTCTTTACATTTTGATAAATGTTTATCATTTACAGACCAAATATAGACATACAACCTGAAAGATAATCAAATTAAAAAACCTTTCGTATTGCTTAAATGATAATGCCATACGGTAAAAATTCTAGAGCCCAAACGTTTTTCACTTTTTCTATCTGCTTTTGATTAAACCATTCTGAGATTCCGGGAAACGTTTTCACGTTTAGATAAAAGATAAATACGAACCATATATAGACATACGACTTAAAAGATAAACAAATTAGAAAGTACACTTTCGTATTTCTATGTAAAAAGTTCATATAGAGTTTATTTTGTTAAACATAGAAAAAATTTACTTTGTTTTGTTTGTACATTTTAAATTGCAATAGTTTGTTTAGAGTTTATGATGATATGAGGAAGAAAGATAGATATAGTCCTAATATTTACTGATAATTATAGACCATATATGGACATACAACTTGAAGATAAAGTACCCAAAATATTTATAAATACGGAAATAGTGATCGCGATCACAAGCAGCAGCTGAAAATTCAGTCGCGTTACAGCATCCGTGCGAGCAAAGCAATATTCGGTGTAAAAGTTGTAAAGAATCGATCTGACAACTGGTTAACCTCAAATTCCAAAAACGTCACCATTCAAAAACAAGTCCATTACTCACTTCAGTGAATCATACGCGTCGGCAAATCGAAATTGTTTAATGAAAATAATTAAACACAAACTTTAGTGCCACAATAATCATTCAAGGCGTCAAGTGCTAGTGACAAAAATTTCAGTAAAGAACATAGGACGTTACTGAAACAAATAGAAACATGAGCGTTTCAGCCTATACCGATATCGTTAATGGCCCAGTTGCCCAGTATCTCCAAATTTCTGCGAAGATCGGAGGAGATGTCGCCGAACATTCGAAATTGGTAAGGGATGTTTTTAACTCCCAATTGCAATATATTCAACTAGCCAGTGAATCGGCCCAACCCTCCCAAAATGAGATCATCAGTTTCCTGAAACCTACAAGTGATAAGATAAGTGCAATCCAAAACTATCGTGAAAAGCACCGGTCGTCGCCCTTTTTCAATCATTTGTCTGCTATTAGTGAGGGCATCTCTGCATTAGGATGGGTTACCATCGCCACTGCTCCTGCCCCGTATGTAAAAGAAATGAATGATGCCAGCCAGTTCTATACAAATCGGGTCTTGAAGGAATGGAAGGAAAAAGACAAAAAGCACGCTGAATGGGTTAAGGCCTGGGTTGAAATTCTAAATGATCTTTATTCATTTGTTAAACAGCATCATACAACTGGCTTGATATGGGCAGGTAAACCAAAATTTGTATGGTATTTAAAAAATTTCTAGATTAATCAGTAATCAGTCACTTCAGTGAAACTATAATCACAAATTGTAGTTGAATGTGGCTAAACAGAATTAAACCTAATACAGTTATATTTACTGAATGTATAACATTGAGATAAGCTGCTAATTCTTTATCAAAGTAATAAAAAAGTAACAAGGCAGGTAAACATTTTCAAATTAGAACAGTCTTTTACTGTTATAACCTTAACAAGATGTAGATAGAGTACTATACAAATTTTGTGAATTTACTTAAATCTGCAAAGACTAAGGAAATATAATACTGATAATTTATCACTGATGAATTTACAAATTCACCCAAGGTAAATTGTAGTTGAATAATTTTTTAGTATAACTGTTTTATCACTTTGACATAAGAAGAACAAATCTGTCAAAACTAACAAGGAAGATTTTTATAAGTTTATCGTATTTGTTTTCATATATATGTTTTAATTGAGGCGTTGACTAACGTAAGTAGAAAATTTTTTAATGCTAATAATTCTAAATTAGTGTTTTCCTACTACGAGAATGAATACCATGCAAAGAATGTTGTTAAAAAAATAGTTTAATAGAAGCAGCCCAGGAAGATATATTTTCAGATATAGGTATATTTTGTTCTGGTTTCGGATCATAGGTATTTAACAAAACTATGAAATACTTAAAAAAGTAATATATTAATTTAATTCAAAAAATTTTACTGTTAGACTACATATTTATACATGAACCTGCTATTATCTGGCTAATCCTTAATTATACATTTTAATCCCAGATTTAATGAGGTACCTAATTAACATATTTTACAGATATGTGAAAATAGCCTCAATGTTCATTGGCTTGAATGCAAATTATGTATTTATGCTTACATGTTTTTAATAAGAGATGTATTCATAAAAATCAGTTTTAACTGCATTCAGTGAAAATTGTTTATTAAAATGAGTCAGATGTCACCAATTTCCATTTATGGTATTCCTATAACTGTAACTCGTTAATTTTTGAGTGAACCATACCATATTTATATATTTTGTTTTATCTAATTCAAACAAATAAAGACGTAATAGGTATCTACTTGCATTTATCAATCACATTTTTGTTAATCGTTTAAATGATTATTTTAAAAATATTATTTGCGCGAAAGATATGCATTTAGAAAATTACATTATACTGATTGATCTGTTTTTAAGCTGATGTACAGGGAAGTCCATAATGCACAGAACATTTTTGGTTCGGAACCAATTTTTTATTTGTGGTTAGATTTTGAGGATTCAAATGAGGAGGGCTTGCAACTTTATTTGACATTAAGTGTCCGTATTTTTCATCGGATGCAAATTACCGTACAAATTAAAGATGACATGCAACTTCTGAATTTTTACGCAAATTATGCATAGCAGAAATGTACTGCTGACTTGTGTAATTAATTAAATAAGCCCCGTACTATCTTGATGTGAATCTTCAACTTCTGCAAGCAAAATCAAATTCTGATCACGGTCAAAATAGTTATTCGATACTAAAGTGGTTTAGTTTATTACAGACTGTAGCTGTTTCCAGAGAGAAAGAACTTTTTTATGCTGTTAATTTATTCCTTTATTTTTCGAATTTAATAACATCCTGTACAGATCACCGTGTATTCTGATAATACAATAGACAGCAAACAAATAATGAGGATTATATAAGGACACTCTTTGCTGGAAATAATTAATTAACGAATTGCCATGGGAGATTCATTAAATCAAAAGTATTTGTTTATTAGACTGTATATTTTAACGTATTTCTATGACTACAGTGTGTCTAACAGAGTACTGCTCAGAAAAATAAATAAAATTTTTTTTAAGGAAATTCATTCTTCATAAAAAGTGTTGCTTATTAAAATAATGGTATGGAAAAATGAAGTGGTTTATTTTTAATTTTACAAATAAAGATAATTAAAAAATAATAACAAATTTTAAGGTTCACATATTAATTATTAATCATTTTATTTTTAAATAATAAATAATACAGATAAAATGGAAAAATTAATCAATTGTCATCCCACTAATTTCAAACATTTCAAATTCTTTCTAAAGTAATGTTTAAATGGTTTTTCTGCTTTTTCTTCAATATTTAGTAAGTACTTAAAAATTAAATTATTAATAGAAATGTTGAATATTAAATATGTTCCTATTCTTTCATAAAAACAGCTTTATATAATTAAAAATAAAACCATTTTGTTCTTTAACTATTTCACGTTTTTTTAAATTATGTATTTTTTAATTCTCCGCATCAAAATGTAACTATATCTATGGTAGAGGATTATTTTTACAAGGAATATATTTAAATGATGAATATACTTATTTAAAAAAATTGTAAATGAATTATGCCATACATTTGACTAGAAAAATATAATTTAAAAATGTATAAAGTTTTATAAAACTTGTATTCATAAATGTAAATCTTACTTGAAGTCTGAATATTTACTTCTTTCAATCTTCCGATAAACAATAGCTTTTTGGACAAGCTTCACTGCAGAAACAAGGAATCTGTCTGTAGGTGTAACTAATTACAAATTCCTGTATGTTCTTCCGATCTCTTATAGTAGTAGTTTGAAACATCATTTGACTGTATTTAGATCACATTTAGATTTACATACAAGAAAACTCTTGTCCCAATGATAATATAAAGTAGAAGGTAATATGTTTGATTATTTAGTTATTCATTTTATATAATATTTAAATAATTTGAGTAGATTTAGACAATGAATAATGTTTATTTAAATTGTTATTACGCGAAAACTATAATTTTATGGGACTCGATTTAATATCTGTGGCCTCATATTAAACATTCCATTACAGGTAAAAGGCCTGCCACTGCAAAAGGAGTTCCGCCGCCACCTCCTGGGTGCCCACCTCCTCCCCCTGTGCTCGATTTTGCTGATGTTGATGTAGGTGGAGCGGGTGATGCTGATCGCTCTGCGCTATTCGCTGAAATTAACAAGGGCCAAGATATCACTAAAGGTCTAAAGAAAGTCACTGCTGATATGCAGACCCACAAAAATTCGGCATTGAGACAGGGGCCAGCCCCCTTTAAGCCGACCGTGCAGAAACCGGTGACCCCTGTTAAGCCAGCACAGATCGACAAACCTCCGAGCTTCGTCAGAGATGGGAAGAAATGGCTTATTGAGTACCAGAGGGGCAATCAGAATCTGTTGGTAGAAAATGCGGAGATGAACAATGTGGTTTACTTGTTCAGATGTGAAAATTCGACCGTAACGATCAAGGGAAAAATCAATTCAGTCGTTTTGGATTCGTGTAAGAAAACTTCCGTCGTGTTTGATTCCGTTGTGTCCGCAATGGAATTTATCAACTGCCAGTCCGTACAGATGCAGGTTATGGGCAAGGTTCCAACTATTTCCATCGATAAAACGGACGGCTGCCAAGTCTATTTAAGCAAAGATTCATTAGATGTGGAAATAATCAGTTCAAAATCGTCCGAGATGAACGTACTGATTCCTAAAGGAGACGGGGACTACACGGAGATTCCTATTCCGGAGCAATTCAGGACTAGAGTTAAAGATAATAAAACTCTTTTCACTGAAATCGTCGAGAACAAAGGTTAAACTGCCAATACGTTTTATTAAATAAATAAATATGTTGCATTTACTTCTAACAAATTTTATTTATATTTAGGGAAATTAGAGTTAAAAAAAATAAAGTATTAGTAGGTTTCTATATAAGCATAATATAGTTTTCAGATATTTAGCCTTTTTTATTTACACGTTTAGGTAATTAAAAGTCGATATAGTTTGCGTAAATAAAATTTGTTAGTAATAAATTTCCTATTAGGCTAATACTAACCTTACGTGATTTCATAGTTTGTAAATTCATACTTTGAATAATAAATTACAGCCGTCGTAAATGCTACTTTTTATCGGTCATCGGTTGTGGATTTCATATCAGTGCATTTAAGTCTTCTCCGCATTTTGTAATGTGTAATTGATTTTATACTATTTATTACATATGTAATCATGCTTGAACAATATATATCTAAAACGATTTTTGTTTTTTAATACCGCATGTCTCATAAAAAGTGCTGTCCCCCATTTTTTTATCCAGGATAAGAAAATTTTACAAAATATTTACAGGAAAGAATAATATAAATAATTTCAGTATTAATTTAAATAAAATTATGGAATGCTCCAAGAGAAACACATCTTATTTCATCGCCAATCGTAGTAAGTGCGTTTTACCGATTGAGAACATTTTTGTAGCATAATTTTACAAATTTTCGAGATCGGTGAACTCTGACTAAATATCACAGAAATTTCAGTCATATTAAAATTTAAAAACTAATTCGTTTGAAATAAAGTAAGAAAAAGTTCAAGTTTAAAATCTACAAAGTGACCTGAATATTCGACGCTAAAGTCAATAATCGATTTAAAACAGTATTGACATCTAAAATAAAATTTTATATTTCGCATAGGTAATATAAATTCCAACTATGGAATAGGAATATTAACAAAAAATACTACTAATCTAAAAGAAAGAAAAAACAAACGAAATATTAAGATAAAATACTATAAACATTGATACAATAAATATGCGACAAACATCCAGACAGAAATACACAGATAATCAAAAAAACAAATATAAATATCAGTGGCAGTACAACTCAATTCACATTCGAAACAGAATATATTTTTCTTAATTTTGTGTTACGGACTTATCAATAATTTAAATTCGGTTTCACTCGTGCCTATGGATGTGTTATGGTATGGTCTTTCCGATATCAATTGAAGAACCAAGAGGATGACAGTATGTACCAGGTTCGGTCGCTGACGCAGCATCTCAGCAGGTCTGGTCGAACTAAACGTGGAGGTGGTAGAAATGTATACGCCCAGTTGAAGAATGCGAGCGCGGACAAACGAAATTCAAATACAGTTGCATTGGGCTACTGGGCAATAAATCTCAGCCGTTGACAAGTGGTCGACAAATTGCCCAGCAGTGCAGTGCAGCAATGAGGAATTTGATGCGATTCAGGTAATTTTAATTTATTATAGGCACCTTCTATTAATCATTGATATTACAATTGCGAAAGGGAGAAATAATATTACAACATGGCATTTTGAAACGAAACAAAACGAAATTTACCATCAATAAAATTGTTTGACGACATAAATAATTAAAATATGTTGATAGCTAAATGAACATATAATAGAAATTTTCTGCACATTATATACAAATTATTATAATTTCTTACCTTTACCAGAAAACTTTTTTAGGAACACCTATGGAACTTATTAAATTTTATGGCTAGGCGTTTTTTAGATATTCAACTGATTTCGGAAAGACTATACCATTTATTGCAAATTTTGTCACACCCTACCAAGAGACCGCAACCATCTTTGATCAAATATTATGGCAAATTGGCTTGAGTACCCACTACCCATCGAAAGGGACACAGTAACATCACTGGTAACATGTGCATACTGAGCCATTGAGAAAAAGTTACAAATATCGAAAAAAGGATGATGCAATTACAAAGAAAAAAAAAATGTGCGTTAAAATATTTACTCGTTTTTACAATGTTCAATGAAAAAATTACGAGCTTTTATAAATGAGCAATACTTAGGTGGATTTGACCGGTTTTCAAGGTATATTTGCCACTTTTGTAGGAATGCCAAATTACCTCATTAATTTGTTAATTTTTTCTCACAAATATTTCGTAAACGTTAAATTTTTGTTCATTGTTGGAATCGGAAAGAAAATCAGAGAGAACATATCAAGGCAGGTAGTGAACAAAGTTAAAATTAATGTCAACCATTCGCCGTTTTCTAAGCGACACCTGATATAATCGTCTTCACGATACAGGGTGTTCAAAATTAATGAAAACACTTGGTTTACTTCAAGTTGTAAACAGTTATATGAAACTGTGTAAATAATTTGTATCATTCAGACATAATTTTTATTTAAAAAATAATTTGATAAATGAATAATCATTACAGACATGATCTAACTAACGATGCACGATGCACATAATTTTTAAGATAAACAACAAAAAAGCTGTTATGGCTAAATTTTTTTGAAATCGTTGCAGCTATTGTAATTTTAAAAAATTATTTTTGATCCAAACTTCCAACATTTTTTATATTTAAAAATGAAACATTTTCAGACATACTTTACCTTTTTTAGTTGATTCGTTAACGTTAAATCTATCAGTTTGTGCAAGTATCTCAGTGACACCCTATATAGTTTTAAAATAATGATTTATTTCATTCCATAAAAACATGTAATTACAAGTTTCAAAGGGTTTTAAATAAATCGAGGTACATATTTTTATTGAACAATAATTTTGGAACAGAAAGAAAGCCTATAAATTGTTACTTATATATTACTATTAAATATATTACAATTATTTAAATTTTCACTTATAAATCGGCCCTCACTCCAAACCCGGGAGCTGGAGGTTCGCCTTTTAGGGATGTAGGCTCACCAATGGGTTCCGCAGCAAATCTGCCACTCCTGAAAACAGTTCCAATTCAAAGAACAAGTGAAAACTCCAACCATAACTTACCTAGGCCCAGGAGCTGGTTTTTTGCCGGCCTTAAGATCGGAAAGTATTTCATTTGTATCATCTATCGTTAAATCTTCCTAGAATGAAATAGAGGTGATATAACAAAATATACTGATTAAGACACTTACATAGTAATCATCATTGATTTGAATCATGGGTGCATTAACACAGGCGCCCAAGCATTCTACTTCTGAAATCGTCCATAAACCATCATCACTAGTTTCACCAACTTCTAAACACAAATTTTTCTTCACTGCTTCTAAAATTTCATCGGAACCCCTTAACCAACAGGGAGTAGTAGTGCATACTTGGACATGATATTTCCCGGTTGGTTTTCTGGAAATTACACTAGTAAATTTGTCAATTTCGAAACTGATATTGAATTTTGTACCTCATGAACATAGTGTAAAACGTAGCAACCTCATAAACTCGCATTCTGGGCACGTTAATTATTTCTGCAACCTTATGCATAGCAGAAATGGGTAACCATCCATGTTGTCTTTGGGCAAGATCTAATAGAGGAATCATTGCTGCTCTTTTATGACCTTCTGGATATATAGCTAGGATAGCAATGATTCTCTAGAGCAATATTGGAAATTGATTAATAAAAATTTTAATTACTTGACGATGGTTACTAACCTTCAAATTTTCACTAGTGAATTCGAAGGGAACATCTGGGTTGTCCTCAGGGGTGTCTCTATGTACAAATAAGCTATCATGTTGAAGTGAAGTAGAAGTTTGAACAGATCTTACTCCCAAAGAACGTCTCTAAAATTTTGAGGTTATGTTTTTATTATATAATTATATCATTTACTCAAAATTTGTTTGTGGTATCTATTCCGTATCTTACCAAACCATTTCCAACCGCTCGTATAGTCGATAACATTTTAAATTTGTAGTAAATTTAGTAAACGGCTCCTTTCACTTTTTCAATATATTTGATATTTGAGGTTGGTATTAGTGATGGGAGATTTCGAGTGGTACTCGATTACTGAGATCACTCGAGAGGTTTCCTCCCACCACTCGAGTGATTATTAGCCTACGGTTGCACCCCAAAATGTTAGTGCATACCATCGATCTTCTACTATAAGATCGATGGTGCATACTGCAAATAGTCACTGATTGCGTAACCTTTTTTTTTTAGAATAAAACGAAAAAGTGGTTAGGTTTTGAAGTGCGTGAGCCTTTTTTTTTTTTTTAGCTACGCTTATAAGTAATATATGACTAATACAAGCATATTTGTGCGTCGCTGGGATGAAAACGACCAATATCTCGTATCTCGAGTGATCACTCGATTATTAGAAGTACTCGATTATCAAAATTAGTCGATTATGCCCATCACTAGTTGGTATCTCCAAAAACCAAAAATAAATAATACCAATCCTGCAACTACCAAAAGGTAAAAAATAAAAGCACCAGCTTGAATTTCATTGGTCGCGTTCAGCACGGGATCAGACTGATCAGAGTATTTAGCTATTAATTTGTATTTGATAAATGATAAATTTATTGTTATTAATGTAGGGAACTTTATCTGGGTGGCTGTTTCAGAAAAATACACTATATTTATCTTTAAAACCTAAGATAAGAAGTAAGATCACTAAACACTTTACCCCAGGTCTCATCTTCTTCTTCTTCTTATTCGAATATGCTAATCGCCAGGGATTTTTTAAATTTTTGAGATGTGTTACTACTTATTATTATTAATGAAAATTTTATGTTAGTTATTGTTTTATTCCAAAAACATGGTGTGCGTCATACACAAGATAGATCTCTTGTGTAATATGTATACACGGCGTCGAATTTCTGAAAAAGATAGTCACCACCATTGAGTTGTTACTGTTAAATATTATATGACAAAAGCCCATGTACCTCGAACTACTTAATACCTGATATCTTTCATGAAAAGAATGTTTGAAAATTTGAGCATATATTACGTGGAAGTACTCGTTCGTAGACGAGTGACAGAGAGAAAGACATACTTTGAGTATTATCTTTCTCTCTCGCGTAAGCACGTGATTGGCTAACGTACCTCCTTCCTCATCGGTTAGATAGAGAGAGTACCCAAACTGTCGCCCTTTTCCTCTATAGCGTCTACATCTTTTAATGCGCGGTGCTCTTCTATGTAGTACATGCTCTAAGGTTTGAACAAATGAAAGGTTTTAAAAAAATTAAGCGAATTTATTGGAACCGGTTTCGAGAGGACCAAAATGTTATTTTCAAACTGTGCAATCATTGATGAATTTAATTTACAAAAACATAACTGCTTGTCTGAAAAATTAGGACTTCCCGCCATGGATATTTTCAATGACAGTTTCATATTCCATTACAACTTACCTTCATACGACTCAGTGTGAATCTTCTCCACAAAGATGTAGACTCTATTGTTCTGCCCTGCTCGTCTAAACAGTACGACCATCAATTAATGGACTAAAACAATAATTTCCCTCCCGGGACACAACTATGCACCAATAAAACCAATAACACTATTAAAAACATTCGCTAGTTGGTGGAAATTGTCTTTAATTCGGCATTATTAAATTACAGAAAATAATTTTAAAAAAATTTACAGTACAGTACAATCTTGTAATAAAAGACATGATACAGTTTAAAAATGAAGCATTTATTAAATATTCAAATACTTATATAAATAATACACCTTGGTAGGTCGGTGCGTTGAGTTAGACAGACAGTCGTAAAGAAATTTAATGAAGCGCGCTACTGACGATCAGTGGCTCGGAGTTTTTCCTCTACAGCTTCCTGACTGGCTTCTGACAGATCTGTCGCTTGAATGTACTTTTGTACGCCTACCAGTGACTTTTTAAGAGCATCGAAAGAACTGCAACAGAAAAGCAAAATAGTCAGTTGCCGTGGAATTTTTCTGGAAAATCAACCACCAAATTTTGAAAAAGAAATTCGCTGATATTTCTAGGTTTTCCAGGAAGTATCGAATTATTATCCAGGCAAAAATGTAAGCTCCGTACAGGGTGTTCTCAAAGTTGAGTCATTTATTTTAACAGCTGGTAGAACTCGCAAAAAGAAGTCAATTTACCAAAAATTTTTTATATAAAAATGGTCAAATAAAGCAATTATTAACAATTATGTTATTTTTGATTTGTGGTTGTTTTGTGCAATAAGAATGGCACATATTTATGAAAACAATGAACTAGTGGACATAATATTAACTTACAGGGATTATCAACAAAATGCAGCTGCAGCATGTCGCTTGTACGCGGAAAGGTTTCCTTTACAAAATCATCCAGCTCCGTGGATGTTTGTAAATTTAGTTATAAGACTCCGTGACACAGGATATTTAAAGGAACAACGAGGAGGTCACACTGGAAGACCTTCTCTACGCAAAATGATGGAGATTGAGGAAGAAATTTTAGAAATTGTCGGAAACGACCCAACAACGAGCACTAGTTCCATGTTAGTAAATAAACAATTTATTTTCCAGCGTAACCTCCTCGTTGCTCCTTTAACTAGCCTGTGTCGCGGAGTCTTCTAACTAAATTTACAAACATACAAGGAGTCGAATGATTTCATAAAGGAAACCTTTCCGCGTACAAGCGACATTCTGCAGCTGCATTTTGTTGACACTCCCCGTAAGTTAATATTATGTCCACTAGTTCATTGTGTTCATAAACATGTGCCATTTTTATTGCATAAAACACCCACAAATCAAAGATAATGTCACACACTATTATTGTACAAATTATTTAGCACTGTCAAGTCGAAAAAGTACTCAAAGCCGTGCAACTACAAAAAAAAGACATACCCAGTCCCAGTATTAAACAAACAATTTATGTTTTTACAACGGAGTGGTCAAAAATGACAATAAATAAGGTTTGTATTATAGTTTTTAAATTTCAATTTTTTAAAATAATTGTTAATAATTGCTTTATTTGACAACTTTTATATAAACGATTTTTGGTAAATCAACTTTTTTTATCAGTTCTACCAGCTGTTAAAATAAACGACTCAACTTTGCCAACACCCTGTATCAATTTTAATTATTCAACCACCATTTTTCAAATTTTTTGGTATCTCCCACTTAATACTCGTATTTAACAAGTATAATTTCGAAAAAAATATAGTGGCTGCCCTAAAGTACGAGTCTTGGTTTCCCACAGTTCCACTTGTTTTTCAAAAAATTATAATGACTTTTGTTTGCCTGATTACTAAATACGGACAATTTAAATATACAGGGTGTTTGTAAATAAGTACGAAATATTATAAGGGGTGGTTGACGAAGCTATTTTGTGAAAAAAAGTTCATATAAACATAAATCGAGAAGCAGCGTTTAAATTTTAATTTTTTATTTATTTTATTAATTTATGAAACTGTAGATTCTAGATTCGAAATTTGAAAAATGCTTTGGAGGAATAAATGTGCATTTTTTGGGGTAATCGGAATATTTCTACTTGCACTAGTGGCGTTCGTGCGAGAATGCCACCTTTTTTAATAAAAAAAATAATGGTACGCCACTGACTTTTTCCCATTTTGATATTTTTTTAGAAATCCGTCATCAGTTCTTCAATTTTTATCGTAGGATGCACCGTTTTTGAGGAAAAAAATAAAACATATTTTATTGTAGGTTTTGTTAATCTTTTATTTAAAGGTGCAAGTAGAAATATTTGGATCACCAAAAAAATGCACATTTATCCCTCCAAAGCGTTTTTCAAATTTCGAGTCAATATCTTCAAAATAATTGATAAAAATAAATAAAAAATTAAAATTTAAAAACTGTATCTCGGAAAATAAGCATATTTCGATCTATGTTTATATGAACTTTTTTCTTTCGGCAACCACCCCCTAAAATATTTCGAACTTATTTACAAACGCCTTGTACAGGGGGATATTTAAATTAGCAAAAATGACCCTATCTTAGCGAGTCAAAATTGAAGAATTGAATTGTTGAAAAATAAGTGGAATCTTTAACAATATTCTAATAGCAAGTGGGTCAGGAGGTGTTTAATTTCGTAGATACAGGGTTCTCAAGTTGAAATTCACGAAAGCATCTTTTTTTTGAAAATGTCTTAAAAGACAAATAAATTAAAATTTTAGATTTTCAAAAATATGCGATAAATCAATAGTAAAATAGTAAAATGGTAAATCTTTTTCAATATGAAATCAGCTTGTTTAATTAAAATTAGAAGAAATAGGTAATTTTAATAAAAAAAATACGAGGTGATTTTAATGAAGATTTTTTTTCCTAGTTTTGAACGTAAGTGAAAAAATGTCACATCAACAAAACAACATGAGGTGCGAAATATTAACTAGACAATTTAGAAAATGAGACCTCCATTTTCTTATAAAGAGTAAAAAGTGAAATACTTCCGTAATTTTAAATCATTCATTTTTAAGCATTTTGAATATACTCCAAAATCAGTTTAGGGAGAACTAGAACTTAAAATCCTAAACATTTTTCATTCCCATTCCCAAACTTTCTTATTTTTACAATTTCTATTAGCAAATAAAGTTTGCTCTATGCAATTTGGGTCTCACTGAATATAATGAAAATGGATATGTCAACAGAATAATTTAGTGAGATTCTAGTAAATAAGGAACAATTACAACTTTAAAAGAAAATCTAGTAAAATTCGAAAAATTTCCTGATAATTCCAAATTTTCCAGATTAGTATACTTACACCCTGTGTATCATTAATAGGTACAAATATATTTGTTGCTAAAACCGATCACGAATTCATAAAAAAAACAGGGATTTAGATAACAAAATGTTTCTTAATAATAATTTCATTATACAGCCCAATTTAATCCTTCAAGAGCAGGTATCACATTATCTGATCTAAAAATTAATAGATATTCCTTGTATTAAAGAAATACATATTAAGATCCTATTTTATTTAAACCAATCTCACAAAAAACTATTCGAAACAAATATTAGAATGACCCTAAGAGGGCTAGTAATATCGAATTAAACTATTTTGATAAATTCAAGTTGATAAGCATGAAATGCGGTAGAACCTTGATTTTTTTTTCAATATAACTCAAGCTACATTATAAATGCTCACTTTGTTTTAATTTCTTAAGTTGGAAGTAGCCTTTTTTAATTTTTAAGAAGCACAGCACGACAATAAACGATACCCAAATTAAAATTTATAAAAATCAAGACGTACCTAGAGTACAACATCTTCTTCTTGACTTTGGCGGTATCGGGACACCATGACATGAGGAAGAGCTTTTGTTTCTTCGAGGATTCTGATGTGCCCTGGCACTGGTGCATGTACTCGAAGTCGTAGAGACCGTAACGGCACTCGCCGGCGCCGCCGGCCTGCAGGTTCGTAAGGAAAGCGTCGTATTCTTCATCACGCGCCCCTATTACCTCCACATCGATCTGCCGCTCGTCCTTGATGAAGAAGATAACGTAGCGGTGTTTCTTGTCCTTTTTGATCTCTTCGTATGTGGTCTTGCAGGCGTCTGACACTGTTACGCCGGATGCCTGGAGAATAAAATTGGTAAATTTCATTTAATCGCCAATATTTAACGGCAACTATCGAGAGAAACAATTTTTAGACACCTAGTAGATGACACAGCAACGGTATTTTATTTGCTGCCGGGACAGTTAGTAAACAAGCTTTTTCCTATATGTGAGGCTTTAAGGCAATAATTTAAACGGAACACACGTTACTGATCATCGAAAACATTTGTATTACTATATGCAGTAAATAAGAAAAAAAATTTTTACTTTGAAAATCTATCGTAAATTTTCATTTATGCTAAAGTAATAATATTTCAATTTTTGTCCTTTAAAACAAAGACTATTTTAAATGTATTGAAGGTGTGGGAAAAAGCTGTCCAACATTAATATCCACAATGGACTATTTAATCCAGTGATTACGTAAAACACGCGTAATTGAATCGTCACAAATAATATTGACCCAAAAAACCCGGCGCTGTGCCAAAAATGAAAATCTGCTTTTGTATTAGTTTATATAATTATTCCCAGAAAGTTAAATTTTCAAGTTTACCCATATCTACTAAAATAGTGTACAATAATTTACGAAGGTAGCTGTGTTCAAAGATTAAAGTCATATTTCATTTTTAACTTTACTACTAAGCTATTTTTTTACGTTATTGAATCCACGCATTAAAAAAAAATTAATTTTAATTTACAATCAGTCATTAAACAATTTTATTAGACAGAAAAATAAATAGAATTGAAATACTTACTAAACATACTTTAAAAATGAAAAAAAATGCCTCAACAAAAATAAATATTTATAAAACAAAGGTGCCATTCTATTATTTGAATATTACTAGAGTATCCATGAAACTGAGTATTTTTGTGTACAAATTTTGGTCAGAGATTTCCCCGTCATTTTCGAAAAAAATAGTTCGTGAAAATGCCATTAAAGGCGCCTTTTCATGGTTGCAAAGTGCAAATCGCATTAAACTGCTCTAGTTTTGAAGAAGATAACATTTTGCATAAAACTTACTAAAAATTGAAGTGAACTGATATGTGAATAAAATAGAACAATAAAACACAGGGTATTCCATTTGAAAAATTTTAGAAAATCAAGTTTGAACTTTCTTAAAATGATCGTATTATGAAAAATGTCCTGTATCAAATATCGATATTAGCTAGTACAGGAGTCTTTGGCTAACATCTGCCTATAACCCTGACAAATATTTTTGCTCCAAGTGTTAGTAGCTGAAAGTTAATACAACTTCCACGAGGTCATGTTTTTTTCCAAAATTGGAAAAATTTTCTATAAAACCCCGTACTAATATGTTAAACTGTTTATTATACTGCCACATACAGAATTTTCTCAGAAATCCATACGTTTAAAAATATACAGGGTGTTCCATTTAAAAAATGTAATATTTGCCGTGTCCCGTTTTTACTCATCGCCCTGTGCGTTTCAAATTAAATTTGTCCTTTAGGTTTTTTGATTCTGTAGAACTTTTATATAAACTTTTTTCTGTATTATGAATATCAAATTATTTTACTTTCTCACATTAATAGCCCACCCTGTATATATTTTTAAATTTGAACAACAGAAGTTACCTTCACAGATTAACTAGGTATAATCTCTTCAGATAAAGAAGAGATTGAATACTAGAACTTGCGCTGTTTATAACTCTTTCCCGTCTTGTTAATTAGTCTATGAAAATTTATTTCAAAATTGAACTGTTGCATGAAAAGGACTATTAATAGGCATCAATTAATTAACAAAGTATAATAGTATCAACTACATTAACGGTAGTTTCAAACGGAAATATGTATAACTGGCATATATAAATTTAGAATCTTCATTTTCTGCTTATGTACATATTTTTTATTACTGTCCATCTTAAAATGCAAATTATTTATTACCTATCCAGACGTTAAACAAAGGTGGCGGGATTTGCTGTCTATGTCTGTATCATATCCTGCCTCTGAGGAAGTTGAAGGAATAATTTTTACAAGTGAATATATTTTATTATTGGTTTTCGTATTTTTACATTATAATGAAGGTATTAATAAGCTAATACAACATTATTTGTTTAACCCTATCAAATAGTCAGTGTTCTTCGATACCAAAAACCCAGGCATGCAAAAATGTAATCTCATCATGTAAAAACCTTGTCCACGAGGTTAGATATATTTCGCATGCCCGGATTTTTGATATCAGAATATCGATTTCATTTGATTTATTTTGTAGACTAAAACATGAGAAATAGATTTAATATTGAAATAATTAAGATATTGGGCATATCAAAAATGATTATTTCCTGATTATTTCTGCCAGAAATTGAACGAAGTATAACTTCTCAGCTCCTACAGTCTGTTTATTTATAATATTTATTGCATCTTTGTTCATTTAAACATAAAAACTATCATGTATAGTCATTACCAAAATAAAATACAAAAATATATAGTAATACAAACAAATAATGCGACAGCTTGGAGAATAGTGTTTGGTTCTGCTATAAAGCTTAATTTGTAAGAATTTTGAACATTTCTCAACCTAAATTACTAGTGCGATTAATACTAAAAAAATAATAAGTATTTGGAATCTCTGTTTCCATTACCTGAGAGAGTTTTGTCCATGTATGTTACTTTTTACAGTTTTTACTCAATGCAACAAAAAAGAAAAATGATACCATTTGCTTTGCGTTGATAAACACAAGATGTATATTCCACCAGTGGTTTTGTTAAAATTTCATATGTATAGAAAGTTATAGTTATTTACTTCAACTCGTACACGTTTAAAATATGAATAGATATGTCAATTTAATGTTTGGTAAAGTTTTGTCAACTGCGTTGTGAACGGATGACAAAGTTTTACTTGTTATGGAACGACAGATACGTATTGTTTCCCTTGTACGTTGTTGTAAGGTAACACTTGTATTCAGAATGAATGGCTAAAGCTGATACTGAATTCCATAACTTCCACTACAAATAAATGAATCCGAGATTGAATTAGATGAATAATAAACAATAAAAACAAAATTTTCATTTTTGGTACACATATTTGCATTGTATTTAAATATGAATGTCTAAATCAAGAAAAAATAAATAAAAACAGCAGGATCAACCCCGATTTTAGAAGATATTTTATACTGTAACGAATATAATGCTCTTAAATGTCCAAACGGTATCAGATGATAAAATGATGAGCTACCATATGAAAAAATGCGTTATCTTTTCACAAAAATAAGTATATTGTTTACAATATTGCTAACTGAAAGTCTTTCTTATTAAAGATACAGAAATGCACAAGTAAATAAGAATATTTAAGTATACTGATATCTGTGTACTTATTAAGACAAAAACATATCTTTATACCAATCTATTTTTATCAATGTTTAAATCAACAATTAGTTCATATCTATTATGGGTTTGACATTTGCAGTAGTTATTTATCAGAAACATCACCTCAAAAGGTAATATTTTAATCACGTTGAACCCAATAGAAAGCATTTTTTACTGAAGTTATGAATCATGTCACGATGACTCCACAAATTTAGTTATCAAATTTACATTAAAAAGATGCAATTTTATGATAGGTTTGAGATATACACTTACGTGCCGTAGTTATAATGTAATTAACTATTTATATTTGTTTAAAACGCAGATCACTTAAAAAAAACAAAGGCTGATAATTTCCTCTAATTCTGCGTTAAGTACCTAGACTACGCGTCAAAATTAACATTACTAAAATCGGGCCCCAATTTTGAAGTTGATTTTCACGCGAATACTTAATCCGGTTATGATAATCTTTTTTTTAATTTTCGCGCCTTACAAGGGGCTTCAAGTTTCGAAGAAAGAAAACTATTTCTTTCTTGCACTCTGTGTATTTTTCATCATTACTAAATTAAAAATTAATTACAATTCCACTGAATAGGAATAAAATTTAAGTGGTCAAAATTACATTACAAAATAGATCTTGGAATACGTTTTCACAACCTTTTATTTCCTGCTTCCGCTACGTTCTTCTGATAAAGTGAAACAAATCTGATTAGTCATACTAAAATTGATCTATAAGAGCTTGCAAATATTTACTTTAAGTTCATAATGTTAGATGTAATGTAAAACAAAGTTAATAATAATATAGACGATTTTATTCGAGTTTTGAGTCGCACTTAAAATGTCTACAAACTAAGTACTATATACTACAACTAAACAAAAACATTCTGTTTCTTTTTTGTAATAAAAAAATAATCGACGATTTGAAAACTATACCTATCATGTCGGTAAAAATTGGTTCTATATCCGGACAGTGGAAACTGACAAATATTAATTCATTGGTAGATAGTATGAATCATTAAACAAATAAGTTATAATAGCTTAACCGTTATGTTAGAAAAAGTTTCCTAAAATGGAGGCATACTCTCAATGAACTTTTCTAATACTTTTGACGAATAAATTATTTTTTAGAACGTACGAATTTTGATAAAACTATTTTCTAATGGGCGTTGAGCAATGCCAAAGGTTTTAGTGCTACTGGCAACATTTTAGAAATATAAATAGACACCTAATAGTAAAAATATCCAATTTACAACAATCTTGATATAAATATAAAAATGATACAATGCTTAGTCGACATGACCTTAAATTAATTTCCATTTTAATAAATACAAAAAATACGTTACAATGACAATAACTAACACAAAAGAAAAAAATTCAGGAATATCACGTATGAGTAGGAACAATAATTCGCCTTTAAAACCTTAGTTGTTATTAACAAATAAGTTTTTCTCCTATCCTCCTAAATGACGATTTTTTTACCATAAAAGGAAAACGATACATAAGGATGAATTTTCAACCTCGTTTCAGATAGCCATATAAATACTTAGATTAGGTATTTTATTTAAACCGTTTAATAAAACACTTGTGGTATAAAAACGTTAAGGTTATTAAATAAATCCGTCAGCTATCGAATGACACACCATATAAATACACGTTTCAAACGGAACAGATTTATCGACAATTCTAAAAAAAATTAATTCCATCAGTTTCCTTTAACCTTGAGGGCGACAGGAGTGATTCATACTAAGTATAGTTGGTACCATCGAAATGAAAAAAATAATGCATTCTTGCAAGAATCCAATGCGTCAACACCCCCTGGCTTAAAATTCTGGTAAATGAGACGAGTCAAATGATAATCTCACACGGGAGTATAATCAGGTAAGAGAATTATGAAAGAAAAATGCTAGATTTATGTACAATCGTTGCAGAAGTCTCTATTCTCTTGAAACATTTTTCTCGGAGACATGCAAAATGCAAATTTGAAATATGGCGACCGGCTTACAATCTTGCGGGTGTCAAATCAAAACCAATTACAGTAACTCATATAATAGCAAAATATCAATATTTACAGTAAACGAACACAAATATACTTACCATGATGGATATATCCTGAACCACAAAAAACTATACAAATCTAAACTGCCAGTAACACAGAATAAAAACGACTGTTCTAACTTGGAGGTCTGAAGCGGACGTTGGCCTGCCGGCAGCTGACACTACGCTTGCGCTAAAGATTCGTTTTTACTACGCCGATGTCTGGTTTTAATTTTATACTTGAACAATTCACTGTGTATGTTTATTTAGCCCAAATGTTTTGAAAAGCTACTGAGCTTTTATAAATTTTAGCAATTTACAAACACTAGTTTACAAGAACTGTCACAAACGAAATTAAATTTCACTTTGAATTACTTTTCGACGCGTATGTGATCCGTGATTTTCAAATTTGGGGCTTTTGCAACTTCTAAAGCGTTTAAACTTTATTTATGGAACGCTTAGACAACTTGTATGCTTTACGTCAGGTTGACAGTGCGATTTAAAATTTTCGTTGTTAGAGAAACCAAAAAATATATATATTGACACAAAATTATCTCCTGAATTTCAGCCAATGTAGAAGCCGGTTTCCTTAAATGCCCATAAATGGTAAAGAGAGCGATTTCAAAATGGCGGCTAGCAAATTGAATGTTTGGCGCCACGCCCTTAAAATCATCGATTTGTGTGAAATATAGGGATATTTCTATATTTGTCAGTAACAAACTGCACTTGAATATTTTCATTAACAATTTTGATTATAATAAACTACATCGGTAATAGTATAAACATGGATAATAGGCATAAAAGTGGTATTTGCGATTTTGTAAAAAACTTCCTAATATGGTATGAAAGTTTGAGTCACTTTATTAGCATAGAACGTTCGTTGACATAAAGGTATGTGTTTGGTATCTCATTTCAGTAGGCAATTAATTACAGCAAAATAGCAAATATAGTGGCCTGATGACGTATTAAATTGTTCCTTATCAATTATTAATCATGCACAGATCTTGTTTTATCATTTTGAAAATTTATAAAACTACTTAAAATAGGCAATTCCACTTTCACTTCCTGGTATCAGGTACTGTTGAAGTTTATCAGTATTTGTTGTGACATTGCTTTCAAATATATATAGAGAAATTAAAAATAGTTAGTACTTTACATACTTCGTTCTCTTTTTTTTTATAAAATATTAACTGATGAAAACTTTATCGATGAGATTCAGAAACATGCCTATAACTTTTATCCACGGGTAGGATGAATCATTAAAAAGAAATAAATAAATCATATTTTAATGACTATCACATCCAAAATAAAGGTTCTAAAATGGAGCTGCACTTTCAACTTCTTTTACTAATACCTTCGATAATTTATGTTTTAGAATAAACGAGATTGAAGCTATTTTATAATGTGCAAACAGATCAGTCTAACGCAGGGGTCGGCAAACTTTTAAGCCTGAAGAGCCTTTGCAATAAAAATATCAATTTCATGAATTTCAAAGAGCCACGAATTTTTATTTCTGTTCTGCGCACTTTAAAAAATTAACGATCTGAAAATATATATGATTTCGTCTTCTGAACATTTTATGACTTTTTGTTTGTAGTAACACTTTTCAAATATTTAAAAAATCCCGGGCGATTTACTTATTCAAATAAGAAGAAGAAGAGGAGACCTGGAGACCTAGCTACTATTGTTCAGTGTTCTTACTTTTTATCGTTAGTCACAGGTTAGTTAAAAAAAGAAAGAGGTTATGTGCGAAAAAGAAGCACTTTATGAAAAAATAAAGTTTTAGAGAAAAATATAGTGTGCCTTCCTGGAACAGCCAATCAGATAGAGCTCCCTACATGTTTTAGTTTGACAGTTTAAATTTAAACTGTAACTAAACCTGTCAAAATAACGAAGTCAAAAAAGTTCAGAAGTCAAAAAGATTTCGAATTTTTTTTAAAGAACGTGATGTAAGGTGATGTTTTTGTATTTTTTTTTTTAGTTATTTTGACAGTTTGAGTTTAAACTAAATTGAAAAGTCAAAAAAAGTTCAGAAGGTGAAAACGAATAGATTTTCGAAACATTAAAATTTTTTAAAATGTGCGATTCAAAGAGATGTGTTTTTGTATTTGTCTGCTTTTTTCAGTGTGATTTTTTGGTTAGGCAAATTTTTTTTTTTTAAATAACCCTTAACTGATTCCTTTAGCGGAAGGGATTATTTCAATAATTTTTAAATTTTTTCTCAGGATGTCCAAAAAGAAAAAAAAAATTACTTCAAACAATACGAGTAAACTCACTTTTGGGGCACCATTCTGCTCATATTTGTTGCCGTTCATAGAAATTGTAACGGACAAAAACTATAATTGATTGCGAGGATTTTCGTCTAGAGAATAAAAAATACGATAAAAGGAAAACAATTTATTTGCGTAATAACGACACTAGCGCAGTTTATGTCGGAATAATGGAAAATTATTCATAAAATCAATCCTGAATGTATTCAACAATAAATAATATAAAATAAAAGTTACAAAATATGCACGTTAAAATTCAAAAAGTACTAATACTTTTTAGTTCAACCGTAATACACTATTAACGGCTAACTCACTAATTAATCTTAAATTAATTATTAATTAGTTACAACCTAAATAATTAGTATAAGAAATACTATATAAGTCCTCTTTTTTTCTTGTAGTCTTGCAAGTTTAAACTTCTCCTCGGAGCTAGGTCTTTCGTGACTGTCTTCGGTACCACATTCACTGGAGTCGCTGCGAAAAAAACGTTAACACATACTCAACTTCGACAGTTGTCTTTTCTTACCTGGTAGGGGGACTTCTAGATCTATCTTAATATCAAAATCGTGAGCTGAGAATAAATCGTCCTGAGTAACTTGGGCCGGTTGAGCGGTTTTCTTGACGGTCTCTTTTTGAACGGGAGTTTGGTCCTTCTTGTCGTGGATGGGCACCATCGCCGCGGCCGCGTCTCTCGCTTCCTTTTCGCCCGCCCTAAAGTTCATCCTGGGCTTCGTCGATCGCCTCGTGAAAGGATCGTCGACCTGAACACATCGTCATTCCAATTTTACAAAAAACCAACATTACCGTAGAAATCACTAACCTTTTTTCCCTTATTTGCCCTAACTTCTGCCATGATTGCTTTTTCCGCCTCTTCGACGTTTTTCTTCCTATTCCTATCGTTTATATAAGAGATACTCGATATAGTTGAGGTACGCAGCTTGTCCAATTCAGTTGCCCTCTCCTCCAGATCTGCCAATTTCTGAGCCAACTCTCTGGCCACCTCTTCGTCGCCCCTACTCAGCGCTGAATCCCTCTCTTTCATCAGTTGCGTCTTTCTCATAGCGTAATTGAACGGGTTCGATTTGAAACGTTGCTTTTCTTGGATCTAAAATGACAATCGTTCAAAAGCAAATCAACAAGTAAAAGATTACTGGAATCGATACACACGATTCTCTCAACGTCTTGTTCATTGAACTCGTAGCTGATCGCTTCTTTTATGTCGGCTTGCTTTTGTTCAATTTTCGCTTTGGTTGGTAATTCATTGCCCGCCGCCGCACTCGCCTCTATCCATTTTAAATATTCGGATTCAGTGAATTCTTGATTTGATATAAATTCTAACCTAAAGACTCTCTCGGACGAGCCATGCCTTACTTTAAGTCCCTAAAAAGAGAAAGTCTACAGAATTCATTTTCCTCAACAAAAAAAAATTGACTTAGCAATTCAAGTGCATTTTAACACGTGGCTTAGCGTCAGTTTAGTTGTTAGGCGAGGCTACTGCCCAATAATAACAGCTTTCTATTATCCGTTACATGCAAGCACTCGCTTAACAATAATTTGTTATTTATTCGACAAAACAGGTGCTAATTAAAAAGAATCAGTTGGCACGTACCTTATTAGTTTTAGTATTCCCTAAGTTATAAATTTTCGCCGTTTCGTACACTCCAATAACCTCGGCTACCCTGTACACCGAGGCGTTGTTGTGTTGTCCAATTCCTACTTTGACGAAACACCCCTTGGCTATGCGGTCAAAGAACGGCATGTGAACGAACCTTTCTAATTTATGCCTAGAGAGACGGATGAGGTTAAGGTCTTGCCTAGGAGGCACGTAGGCTGGTTTCTTAGATTCTTCCTCCTCGTTTTCGTTCTCGCTGGAGCTGGACGTGTACGAGGACCGAGACCTTGAACGGGATCGCACCGATGCCGAGGAGGTCTGCCTTTGAGGCTGGGGTGAACTTTTACCACCTAAGTATATCATTAAAGTTATCAGTGCCATTTCGGATGTCATGTTGTTTCGTTGTTATGTATCAGATTTGTGTGATATTAGTAATTAGTCGAAGAAATGAAACAATGAACTTCCGAAATCTGTGCAGTAAGATGGAACGGAATGTGGTTTTTTGCATTCGTTTCGTTAGAGCGTCCAGAAAGTTTGTGACCCTATGTGATCAATAAGAAATGAAATTTGCATCGGTGCATAAAAAAATTGTATTTTTAAAATTGTTTCTCGAAGAGTTAAAATATGAAAAGTTTATAACTGGGAAAATATTGACGGAAATGAGTTCAATTTTGCTACTCGGGGGTTTTTGGGGTCGCTGAACACGAATATCATGACGGCAACGGTCTCTGAGGTACCTAGTGCCCAGGATGGCTGGTTTCTGTGACAACTATTTTATTCTTAATTATTTTTTATGATAAAAATACATTTCATTACAAAAAAATATACTTAAATATCTTTACAATTTTAATTTTTCTTATTTCACGTGTGCGCTATAACTTGGAGCATATACTAGCTACCAACTGGATTAAAAGCGCCAAATTAAAAAAAAATGTTTCGGATAATTTATTTAGATATTTGATAAAGCTTATGAAGATGACATCGATACCTTGGAGAACATTGCCGTTGTGATATTCGTGTTGAGCGGTCTCAAAAACCCCGAGGTAACGAGTTTCAGCTAAGTTTATAACGAATTTCCAGAAAACTCCAGGAGACGACGTGGAAACCGGCCACCCTGGGCACTAGGTATCTCCGAGACAGTTGCCGTCGTGATATTCGTGTTCAGCGACCCCAAAAACCCGAGGTAACGAGTTTCAGTTAAGTTTGTAACGAATTTCCGCAAAACTCCAGGAGACGACGTGGAAACCGGCCACCCTGGGCACTAGGTACCTCGGAAACCATTACCGTTGTGATATTCGTGTTGAGCGACTCCAAAAACCCCGAGGTAATGAGTTTCGGCTAAATTTATAACGAATCTCCACAAAACTCCAAGAGACGACGTGGAAACCGGTCACCCTGGGCACTAGGTACCTCGGAGACCGTTGCCGTCGTGATATTCGTGTTCAGCGACCCCAAAAACCCCCCAAGTAGCAAAATTGAACTCATTTCCGTCAATGTTTTCCGAGTTGTATATTTTTCATATTTTTTTAACTCTTCGAGATGCAATTTTAAAAATGCATTTTTTTTATGCACCGATGCAATTTTCATTTCTCATTGATCATATAGGGTTACAAACTTTCTGGACGCTCTAACGAATCGAATGCAAAAAACTGCATCACGATCTATCTTACTGCACAGATTTCGTAGGTAAGGCCGTTTTTAGTGCTTTATTTCCTCGACTAAATAGCTTCCGTGAGTAAATAATATTATTTGGTCATTTATAATGCAGCACGTTTGGAATACAAAGGTAAGAAAAAAGCACGAAAATTTGTCTAATGTATATCTGGTGGTTCTGGAGGTTAAATTTAACGAAAAAATTAGTATTTTATTGACCAACTATAGAAAAATTTCTATTTTATTTATAAGTAAAGAAAATATAAAAACAGAAGAAAAACTATAAAAATAATAACAAAATTGTTAACAAAATAAAATAAACTAAAATTGTACTTTCTGTGTTATCTTAGACTAAATGGTACATTGAACTGAAGGCGTTTCATAAGTAATGGTAAACACTTGACGGGATATTGGCAGTGAAAATAATACTATTTAGTAGTTATTCATGTCTTAACGAAAAGTAAAACGACGAAGACGAGCTTTTAGATTTTCTCTTAAGAGATGATGAATGGGTGTTATTTTGTTGGTGGGAAACCAATACATTTTCAATTTAGATGTACTTTCCAAAGGTAATGCATCTTTATTAAAAAAAAAAAATATGGGAAATACAATTTTCATGGAAAATTTAACGTTTTAAATGTTACGTATGTAGTGCTCTTTAGGTGTTACATCAAAATTGAAGGAGTATTACGATGACCTTTCACGAAAACACCTTATATCTTCCTACAATTCATTAAAACATGTTATTTATTAATATTTTGGCTTTTACTATCCACAGCTAAGTGTTGCACCATTATTTACAAAACAGCGCGTATATAATACATTCGTATAAAAAATTAACTCATTTTTAAAAACAAATTAAAGAACTGACGGCAACAACTGGAATGAAACGCAAAGTATTAAAACTTGAACACTGGCAATCACAGATTTAAGTTCACTTCACTTCATCCGTATTCCCTTTCAGAGCTACACGTAACTGTTAAAAGTTCGAATGGCAGTGTAACGTCCCGTCGTGCAAAGACATCATTTAGTGTACTGTAATTTGAATAACGATGCCTTCCGACCGGCCGCAGTATTCGAGTACGGCCTACAACACATGCAATACTTCTTATATTCTACCAAATATCCCCCAGGTACAACGCAAATCGTCCCAACCACACTGTTCTGAGGCTTGCGGTTGTTCATGTCGCTGTGGACACTCTTTATTTCCTCGCACCTTCTCCAAATGTAGCTGCGATATTTTACTAGAACCCTATGTGCGTTATTTCCGGGATATATTGCAGGGTCTACGGAGACAACGACATAACCGGGCGGTGCATTTTGTTGAAACTCGGCTACTAGCAGTGGATCTACATAGTCTTCGTACGCTAACTCATCAGAACAGTGCAAGTGGAATCCTCTAAACAAGTCATATCGTACCAAAGGTCCATTTGCTACCTGTCGATCTTCTGACAGCCGTTCATCTCTTGATATGGAGCCAATTTTTGCCGTGGAACTACTTCCTGGAGAGCTACTTTCTGAGGTGTTACTTCCTGCTAAAGGAGAATCACCAAGAGCAGATCAGACACAATTAAAATATTTATTTAATTCTTCATTTTTAACCACGATATAAGATCTAATTCATTTAAAACGGCTATTTGAACATAAAACACCAACTGAGTTAAAGAGAGCGATGTGAACTATACATCTGTAATTGCCGAAACTGTTTTGATTGTGTTTCTTAATAACGTTTTTTAATATTCATCTTTTGTGATAAATTCCTTTATATCAGCATGATATTAGTAAAAAATTATATTTGGTATAAAATAGAAGTCAAAATAAACAATTAGCTGAATATACACGCAAAGACTTATTGGAGCGAAAAATTGTACCAAATAATTGTCGGATAAATCGTTAAGAAAAATCTCAGATAAATTTTAGAAGTTTTATTGAATCGAATTATGGTATAAAGTTTATCTGACTGCTTATTCGTAACGTCTGTGTCATTCACAAAGATTTATCTCTAAATCTGGTAAGATTATTCCATCATCGTTGATCTTTCGGAAGTTGAAAAAATCGGAGCAATTTATTTGTTACTCATAAGTATAGTTTGCCACGAAAACATGAACAAAAACGACGTTAAATGCGTTTTATTACTTGGAATGATGGGTTATGTGATTATAAAACGACACAGAAGAAATAAAAAGCGAACAACTAATAAATTCTTTTGATGCCATATTTCAAATTGTAGTATGTTCTGAACTCAAGACAGAAATTAACCGACTTTACATATCGCGCAGATATTTCCTCCAACATGTAGGTACTAACACGCAGATGATGCTCTACACAATATCGCCCAATAATTCACGAGATTTATCAGCCGTTTAATCACTGTGTTAGTGTACGTGACAAAATAATCGTTCCAAATTATTTGGCAGCAATTTAACCGCCAAATTATTGGTATTTTTAAATTTTTCTTGATGGCCGTTTTGTCTTTACAGTTTATGCAATTCAACGTTAAATCGGCCAAATCGGTCGATAAAACTGCTCGTGTATATTCAGCTATTAAGACAGTTTCCACTGACATTTTCTGAAGATTCCTTTCTATTATGAGTTTGGAGAATTACGTAATGAAATTTTTACTTATGTTAGTATTCGGGGTATTCAAAAACAGAAATAAATTTGCCATACTACAAAGGTAACTCGCTTGGATGAAAGTAAACAGACTTGTATCAGGTTGCTTCCTTAAAAAGCTACAGTTCAACAATTTTTTTTTAACTAAAAATAACCGAGTCACTTTTTAAGATTAAAATTTTATATAAGGGAGATTTTTGGTACACTAATGATGAACATAAGGACTATTAATATCTGAAATTTTATTTTTTTTTGGCAAATTTTTTTGAGAAACAATACTATGGGCTGCCTAAAGGAGGTGATTCTGAGACTTTTCACAGGCCCAGCATCAAAAAGGGTCCGCTATCGGGCCTGGACTTGTTGCATAGCGTAAACAACTTTAATTCATGATAATACAACAATAAGCAAGGACGACATATAATAACAGTGTCTTGTTCATTACTCTTCGGTAGTCTGTGAATGACTGGAAGACACTGACCTGATGGACACTTTTTTTTACATTTACATTTTACGTCTTGTGTTTTGCGGCAACAAATACCTTTTTTAAAGCCACAAAAAGTACATTTTGGAAAACACCCGTATTTTCACAAAAAAATGATAAAAAAGCAAAAGAATGTTTAAAGTATTCGGCAAAGAAATATTTTGTTCAATGTAGCTGTTACCGTTGAAGTATGGACCATTCGTTCCTGGAGCGTATACAAATTAAAATATACCAAAAATAATACAAAAGAAAACATTTAAAATATATCCCTGTTAAATCATTTCAATTTCATATTTCAAGGTAAAAATCTAATGAACGCAAAAGCCACAAGTACTTGTCGTGGCTGTGTTTGCGATCGGCCTTAGAGTTTGCAGACACAGCTCTCAACAAAACTGGACTCAGTCTGCTGAGATGTAGACATGAACATGTTTACAGAAAATACTTCGCCACACAATAATATTAACAATAAATAGTACCGGTAAATGTAAAAATTACGAAGAGGTCTAAAAGTAAAAACACAAAATACAAAAATTTTCGCTATTAATGAAATATCTTATTTAAATCAAATTTTGTCACTTATTTATCGGACACCCTGTATATAGTATTTTAACTTAAAAACAAACACAAATTACTGTAATTTATGTAGATATATAAAATGAATACATGGAGCCGAATACTACCGAGAGGAACGACTAACGAATTCATTATCTTACGAGCCGTGAAACCCAAACTCTAATAATAACGTTACTGATCCCAACAACTGAATTGAAATGATTCTTTGCTTGTCACGTGCAAAATTATTCTATAATTTTCTACACCTACCTTCACTTTCACTATCATCTGAATAAATATCGGATGCCTTCAACTTTGTTTCAACTTTCGTCGACAGCGTCTGTTCTTCCTCGTCCTTCTTCTTCTGCTCCTCTTTCTTCTTCCTCTCCTCCTCAGCCTCTTCCCTCTTGATCTTGCCTTCTCGTTTAGCTTTCAACTGCGCCATAGCATTGACACGTTTATCTACTTTTCCTCTATTCTCTTCGATATTTTTCTTACGCTCCTTACTCCTTTCCTTGTGATCAATCGAACTAAAATCAGTTTGCAACTTGTTCTGAAAGTCTTTGTCTTTGTCCCTGTCTTTCTCTCTAGGCGGCTTGGATGATTTATCTTTGGCACGCTCAGCCTTCCTAGCCTGACGCAACTTCTTTTCTATTTCAAACCTACACAAATAAAGTTTAATTTTTTACATAAAACAGAAGTTTTAAGGTTTACCTAGTTTTCATAAGTTCCCTTTGCTCAATACGTTTAAAGATTTCAGTTTCCCTCTCCTTTTCGGTCAATGCCGCCAATCTGGCTCTATCTTCTTCATCACCCATCAGTTGATCGTCATACCCGTCATTAAATTCTTCATCCGAACTGGAAGAATCTGACACTTCCCCTTCTTCGGGCTCTGAATTTCTTTCATCCTTCTTCTCGTCTTTTTCCGACTCAGAATCGGAAGATATAGAGTCACGTTTGGCTTTTTTCTTATTCTTAGTGGAGCTGTCACTTTCTGCTTCAGATTCGGAAGAAGACTTTGCTTGTGGTGACCTTTTCTTTCTGTTTTTCTTCTTGGCTAACTTCAAAAACTCCTGGAAGCAACAAATTTGTATTGAAAACTTTTGAAAATTATACATTAAACAAACATTTTGTATTAAGTCATTCATTGTTCTGATGCAAAATGTCACCACTTGTCTAATTAACAGAAATTGCTGTTTAAGCCACCTATGATAACTTCAAAGGTAGATTTTTCTTATAAATGGGAAATCATTTTTAAAATATACGGTCATTAGGTTAGGAAAAAAGTTATAGTACTTACCGAATCTAAATCACTTCCAGAATCATTGCTCGAGTCACTATCTATTAAAGCTTGGTTTTTGCGTTTTACCATTTTGTTTGTGTATTAATAGAACCAGTAAAATTTCAAGTCACGACAAAATCTAGTGCTATTTCCACAACGCAACAACGGTTTGATTTGATGAAATTTTCAATGACATTCTCTCCGCAACAACGTAAACGCGCGCGCGCTAGGTTATAGTTCTAGGGTAAAACTAAAATTACCAAACTTTGGTAACCAAAGTCACTGGCCGCGTTCAACAGATAGAAAACCATTTAGAAGCTGTTTTAAATCTGTCAGTGCCAGTCAGTGGTGTTTAATGATCTGCTGAACGACCTATTTAAAATTTATTTTGACATAACCTTATTTTTTTTAACAAATGGAAATAATGAATAATCAATTTGAAAACATAATCTTTGAAAGAGATAATATAGTTATTAGAGCTGTGCCGGCAGCAAATGACCTCTTGGAGGAGCCCCTTCATGACGGAGGAGCGGCCGTATGTAACAATATACTTAATTATGAAACTATAGTGCCCAATTACACAGACTTTGACTTTGCCATAACCCAATCAAGAATTCAAAATTTCCCGTTACATTTCTACACGTTTACAGATTTAAGCGCTTAAACATGTTTACATCTAACTATTTTCAACTGTACGTTCAGCAGATTAATCATAAACAGTTTGTCAATTTGTATCTGTTGAATGCAGCCAATGATGCTAACAAGTGGAAATAAAACGCGGAATTCTCAATTCTCTTTTAATAACACGGGAATGTTCGACAAATAAAGTACAAAAACGAGGATTATAATATAATTTAAAAATACTGTATTTATTAAAAAAAGGTCATATTTTCACTACACTAGATTTATAACTAGTAAAATGCATAAATGAAAGAGGAAAATACGTAATAACATTAAAGTCTTTGCACTTGTTTACGGTTACAATAAAAATATATAAAATCATTCAATAAAAATAACATAATAAACAGAGCGATTTTTTTACGCAGCTCGTATGCCTAATTTTTTTAAGACCTTCAGCCCCTGTTCTTCGTACTCCTGCTTCGATAACCAGAAGGCGTCCCTGTCCTTCATGACTTCGGCCAACACCGCGCCACCAATGAAAACCATATCTTTACGCCTCGGTGGGTCCTCTATTCTGATTTTAAATTTGTTGAGCTTCTCTATGTCGTTCTTAAGTACTCGTTCTATGTAAAGTTGTTTGATTTCACGCTCCAGTCGTGACGGAAGCCCTGGATACATTGTAGACCCTCCTGACAGTACGATGTGTTTGTAAAGCTCTGGTCTCATGTCGATATCGGCAGCCTATATTAAATATTATATTACATTTATACGTAGAATGAAAATTTCTAAACACCCTTTATATTAAACCGGAGACCACTACGTACCTGTATTGTGTTGAAGACCAATTCGGCGATACCCTGCCCCTCAACGTTTATCAAGTGAGGCTGGAACAACGCTTCTGGCGCTTCGAACCTCTCACCACCCACTTTGATGACACGACCATCGGGTAGGGTATAGGGCTCCACAAGAACCGTTGTTTCTAAAGCTAGACGTTGTTCAGTTTCAATATCGTAGCCAATGTAACACAATTTTTCTTTCATCATTCTTACCTTAAAAAATAATTTAAATGTGAATCGGTCAATCAAAATAATTCAAACCACAAATAAATACGTGTAGTACAACAGTAATTTTACATAGACTGGGTACGTTATTAATTATTCGCATCACAATATTTAAAAATAATTAAATAAATCTTTACCGTTTCAAAATCAGCAGAGTGGTTGAAAGCATATCCTCTGAGCAACAATAATTTAATCAGATAACGTGTAATATCACGACCAGCTATATCTAATCGCCTGGTAAGATGCGGCAGTGCGTATTCCTCATAAACAGGGCATATGTGCGTTACGCCATCTCCAGAATCGACAACAACACCCGACAATAGTCCCTGAAAAATAATTTTATTATTATTTCATAATAACACATTTTATTGATTATTTACCTGAGCATATAGAGTTAACACAGCCTGAATAGCAACATAAGCTCCAGCAAATCCATATTTCTCAAACATAACCTCAATCATCTTTTCTCTATTTTTGGTAGGGTTCATAGGTGGCTCAGTCAGAAGGATCTTTAATCACATTTTGTAAATTAAGCGTTAAACGAGAAATTTATTTGGATTATACTTTCTTTTAAAAACTTACTTTGGTTTCTCTGGGATCTAAATTCATTTTTTTGGGGCCAAACGTATAGTCCCAAACATGGCACATGTCCTCCCAGTTCCTTACAACACCGTTCTCCATAGGATAATTTACTTCTAATAGTGATCTCAAAGCGGAGGCCTCATCACCCACCATTAGATCCTAAAGTAAAACATTTAGAACCTTCTCATAAACTCTGCTTCATAAAAGTTAAGGATGACTGCACAAGATATAAATTTAAAATATACAATTACTTGTTTAATAAAAATTATAATGGCAACTCAGACACACACAAATATCACGCACTAGTTACTGTTCTTTATGTATTATTCTCGTTTCAGACAAGATATAATTCACCGCATCAGCTGGGAATGTCAATTTTTGTATTTATTTAAACAAAGAATATAACCAAGCATCCAAGTGTTTGCAAAAATAAATTATTTGAAACACTACTATCCTTTTCCAAGAAGATTCTTGTCAATATCCTTAATTACTATGAAGCAGAACGTTATTAGCTCAAAAAATTCCTCAATCCCTATTTACTTACAGGAAGAGTACTTGCAACTCCCTGAAGCATGTAAAAATTAGTGAGCATTATATTAACATTCTAAATAAAAAATAAAAACTAAACAACAATTACGCAAATAATTATTAGTGGACTCTAAATAAAAACTTTACAATATATATAAAAGATAGTGAAGTAAACTATTCTTGTAAGTGTAGTGCAACAATGGAATATATATAAAAACTAGCACTGAAATGGTCGACATAAAACTGATATGGGTTTTAAAGTGTTAGTGGTAACACAACAATCAAACAGTCAAACACATTCAGTAAAACAGGAAGACACTTACATCTACATGTAAACCCTAAAAAGATAAAAACAGGACATGAATAATAACTTCCACAGATAATCCATCCAAGATTACAAAATACTTATTAGTCGAATGAACTCAACTCACCTTAACTTCTATATCACCTATTTTATTTACAGCTCTAATTATCGGCCTCCCAACCATTGAAGGAAATATATGAGCAGGAAAATTACTACCGGCATATCCGCATTTAACGAACTGAAAGATAAATAGATAAAATGAAATTAGTCAGGTTATGTTTTAACATCAGTGGTTTCTATTTAATATACAAAATTTACTTACCCCAGTTCCATTATCACACACTATTACTTTTCTACCTTGACTATCCATTTCAAATTATTTTTGTTTTAACTAAATAACAACGATTCTACTTCTGAATCATTCGTTTCTCTTTACCATTACCACACCTCAACCTGACAGTGGTCAGTGACAGTAAAATTGACAGTTTTTCGTTGATAAAATCGTTATCTACTTGAAACATATCTTTTTACGCCCATTTTTATTACCCTCAGCGCCCCCTTTAACTGACAAATTGACATTACTGACAGCTAATAATGTATATACAAAATGTAGCTGTTGTTTTTGTAAGTTGAGAAATATTTTAATAATAGATTTGATAAAACCATTAATAAGATAAGCCGAATAAAGTAAGTAATAAAAATAATGTGTATCCAATTAATATTTTATATGGTTAGATTAGCTTTGTAAAAATGTAACCTAATACTTATATAGAAATTGTATCTTAGATGTCATGAATTTCTCTACATCAGAATTTGTGCTGGGAAGGCAGAGGGGTCGACAATGGGTGCCTCTAATATCTCAGCAGGTGAGTTATATAAAATTTTTTTGTAAAAAAATTACGTTCTTTATTTTTAGTTTCGACTTCGTCATGTCTATCAAATTATCGGATTCAACCTTCTATCAGAAACAGCAGGTAGCTATTATTTTACTCTTCATTTAACAACAATGTGTGCCCCTTTTTATACAAGTCAGCAAATCCAAAATCCTAACCCAAAATGGCCAGAATTGGATTTAAGAAACATTGCGAATACTTCCGCTTCATGTGTAGTTCTGAGGATATGGCAGCACTGTTCAGATGGTGCAGATAATATAATTTTAACTTGGGGTGTACATTTCTCGGGACTGGTGTATATAGGGAATAAAATAGCAGAGATTCAGCCAGTATATTTTAAGAATAATTCTGTGATACTTTACATGCAGGGAGGGTATTATACTAGTCACCATGTGATTAAAACTGATCTGCAGAAACCCATACCTTTTCTTAATAATGTAAATCTCATTAATACCTTAAACAACAAGGTTATCTATAGACGTATTGCTATAAAATCTCCTCAATGCGAAATACAGGATAGCTACTCCTTAAATAAACTTAGAAGATTACATTCTTTACAAGTCGAAATTAAAAAGAAGAGCATCGAAGTTCAGAACGTAAGGGACAAAATTAACGTTCAAACTTGTACAGACTTCAGTGCAAATGAAAGTTTACACGAGTCAATTCCATCTAGTTCCAGTTGTAGCATTAGGTATGCCCCACAGTTATTAACCATGAACTCTCTAAATAGGATGTTACAGGTAACATTACCATTATTTCCGTTGATTTTACGCTTAGGTAATTCTGCCTTGTAGGAAAAACCTACCAAAGTTCAAAAACAGGAAATGACCAGAATTAATAAGGAAATCGAATTAGAGAAATTTCGAATTAGGTTGCTGTCGCAGGAGAAAGATAAGAAGAACGTAATTATTCGGCAACTAAAGCAAAAACATTCCGGAATAATCGAGGAAAATGAAGAAAGAAGTAAGAAAAGTCGCAATTTTAATCTTGAATTAGAATTATAAAAAATTTTATTATTTCAGATTTTAACTTAATGGAAAACTACCATATGTTGAGCAGAGAAGGGGAAAGGTTAAAAGAATATAAAAAGAGTTTACTACAACACCGAGAAGTGTATTCGCTAATATATTTCCAGTTACAACAGAGGCGGAGGCGATTATTGCAAGAGCTGCTATTTATTTATCCCATAGATAAGCACAGCGAAGAGAAGTACACTGTGCATGGAATATATTTACCGAGATCAGATATTCTAGCGGGTAATTGATTTGAAATAGTAGTGTAATATAAATAATCTTTTATTAAACGTGTTCGCAGATTGTTCCGATACGGGGTTGTCGGTAGCGTTAGGCTACATAACACACATGCTAATAATGTGTTCCACATTCCTTCAAGTTCCTTTGAGATATCCGGTGACACATTGCGGCTCACGATCCTATATCACCGATAATGTTTCGCCTTTGCTGCCGGAGAAAGAAAGAGAGTAAGTAATTTCTAGAGAAATCGTTATTTTATGTGAAAAATATTTATGGAAATGTTTAAATATTTATATAATAAACAATTCAAGAGAATAACAGAGGTGGCGACATGTATTACTTTAATTTAAATCGCTCTTATAGGGAAAACAGTTTTATTATTATTTCTTAATTTTTTGGCAATATTTTTTAACCACCTGGGAATAAGTGGACCTTCATTCTTAATATGGAGAGCAATGTGCACTGAATGCAAAAGTGCGTTGAAAAACGCCGTAAGTCAAAGAAAAAAAAACCACAGTTGTGTAGTTAGCGATATTCTAAGTGATTATCGAAAAATATTCCTTAAACTGTTAACATGTAAAAGTCAATTCTAACATTGGCCCTAAATAGCAAACCATTCAAAATGCTGCAAGACCATTGTCGCCACCTTCTATATAGTCCAATCAGTCTGTAACGGCCTAATGTTAAATTTACAAAAAATACCACCTGAAACAAAAATTATGGTGATATAGGAAAATAAATTCTAAGAAAGATAGTGTATTTTTCCTGTGGCGCATAAACGGCGAAGTTAACCTAAAAAATTCATAAAGGCAAAAAAATGGTTTTTCGCTAATAAGAAAAAACTTGATCTACAATCGAAAAAGTTAAATGAGAAAGTTGTAGTTATTAAAAAAGCCTATCGATTCGTATTTTTAAACATATCGATTGTTATATTACTTTTCCAGATATATCGAAAAAACCGTCAAAAATCGACTTTTTTTGTTCTTGCTGTATCTCTTGCAAATTAAGGTTTTGAAACTTGTTACTTGCTGTAAATGTAGCCCTCGGCAAGCAAAAAAGTGCCTTTTTTTAAATTAAACAATATTAAAAATTTTTCGAGTTACATATATCGATTTTTCGAAAAAAAGGTCATCTCGAAAATCGTCTCTTCTTGCTCAACGAATAGTCGTAGAGAAACTAATCAGGGCTCATTTCTTTCCTTCAGAGTTGTACTTTCATGGTAAAAAAGAGTGATAAAGATTTTATTAATTTCAAGTGTCCAAAAATGACTTTTGAAAAAAGTAAACATTTTTTGGTCGCGTTTTTCTTGAATATCTTTTTCGATTTTCATTTCTCGATAATGTCTATTACAGCAATTGATTGCTGGCGTTTTTACGCGAATTTAAAAAAAAAACGTTGCTCTGCAATCTTCTGGAGCTGATATATTTTTTTTTTTAAAAAATTCAACAGGCCGCTATTTAAGTGTTACAGCATCCATTCTTACACATATTGAAGTTGAAGACTTATACATATTTTTAATAAAAAATACTGTGGTTCATTTCAGCCACTTCTGCATTTTTAATTGTGCGTCAAACCGAGGCAACTGTAGTGTGCGGCGGAGTGGGGGTAACGCTACTCGGCCGCTCCGAAAACTGAATTCGCGATCCAGAAGTCGAGATAATGAAGATTTTGAAAGTAAGAGCGCGAATTCAGTTTTCCGAGCTGCCGAATAGTGTTACCCCCACTCCGCTGCCCGCTACAGTTAGCTTGCGGCGCTCTCGAATGCCTCAGATTGATGCACAATTAAAAATACAGAAGTGGCTAAAATTAACCACAGTATTTTTTATTGAAAATATAAGTCTTCAACTTCAATCTCTGTAAGAATGGACACTATAGCACTTAAAAAAAACATTCTCTCGGCTACAGAAGGTCGTAGAGCAACAGTTTTTTTTAATAATTTGCATAAAACTGCCAGCAATCGATTCCTGTAATAGACATTATCCTGAAATGAAAATCAAAAAAGATATTCAAGAAAAACGCGACCAAAATATTTTTACTTTTTTCAGTTATTTTTGGACACTTGAATAAAATCGTTGTAACTCTTTGTTACTATGAAAGTACAACTCTTTAGGAAAAAAATGAGTCCTAATTCACTTTTCTACGACTAAACATCGATTTTTGACGGTTTTTTCGATAGATTTCGAAAAGTAATATACCAATCGATATATTTAAAAAACAAATCAATAAGTTTTTTTAATAACTACAACTTTCTCATTTAACTTTTTTCGATTGGAGTTCAAGTTTTATTTTCATTAGCAAAAAACCGTTTTTTTTGACTTTTATGAATTTTTTAGGTTAACTTCGCCGTTTCTGCGCCACAGGAAAAATACTTTCTTAGAATTTTTTTTCCTATATCACCATATTTTTTGTTTCCAGATGGTATTTTTTGTAAGCTCTTCTAACTATTGATTGAACTAATATCTACTTGTCTATTTTCGTGAATTGTTTTGAAATAATTATTCATTTTTGTACATATCAAGCCAGTCCCTGAATAATTTGTATTCACGTATATTGTATTTTTTTAGCTTTCCCCTTTACACGAGAGGAAAGGACAAAGCTCAGTTCACCTACGCTGTGTATCTGCTGAATAAGAATCTTGCTCAGTTGCGGTGGTTGTTCTACATGAACACCAGCGACTTAAAGTCTACGCTACCCAACCTGTTAAATTTCTTACAAGGACAAAAAGAGTTTCGTTTCGAGTCTCTGTCTCCGACGAATATCTCGTTAAGTTCAAAGCACGATCAGCCCGGGGACGCAAAGCAGTCACCTCCCCACTTAGCAGTTAGTGAAAAATATGTTAGTTTACATAGCTTTGGTTCAAATCCCAATATATCCGATCCTATTTTAGACTGCATAAGGCATGAGAATCAAATTCAGAGGTCGAGTAGTCCAACGCGAAAACCTAGTAGAAAACCAGTTAGTAAACCGTGTAGAAATAGTGAATGTGGTAGGGGATTAAGCGAGATTCTTGCTATTCCAGAGGCGTTTCTTAATAAGCAGATCAGTTCAGATTCTTTTAGAAACTACATAGTCTCCGAGAAGTACAGTTCTGATGTTTCCAAAGATGGCAGCTGTTGCGGTAAGTGCTGCCGCTGTTACACTGTAAAGCTAAAATCTTGTTCGTCTCCAATTAAATAAAATGTTATTCTCGGTGATTTTTAAGGAAAACTACAACTTTCGTATATTCTGTTTTATACCCGAGTATCACTCTGTAGCAAGAAAATTGAGTGAAAACATTCTTGCCTTTTCAGCTCTCTTATACAGGATGTAACTTTAAATGGGGGTCATTTTTTTTAGGGGTATTTCTTTTTAATCAAATAAATAGTCAAGTTATAATTAGTTTTTTAAAATGCACTTTAATAGTTATGTACGCCACCACTGTAATATTCATGTGTTACAAATACATGAATTGTAGACAACCTACAGTGCGTGTGGAGGGAGATAGTGTGGGTCAACGGCAACGAAGCGAAGGGCTTCAGTTGTACCATTATTGATTACTGCTCAAGTCTTTTGCTAGGTTACTTGTTAAGTACTGTTTGTACTGGAATTGTGCATGCGTTGCGACTAACGCGTGCCGTTATTTGATGTTACACTAGCTTCTGCAACGGCGGGGTACGAAAAAACGTTTTTAAAAAAATTAAACTTTTGTGACGGAATTTGATAAAAATAAACTTGATATGTGTTTAAAGGTCAAAGGAGCCTCTGTATAAATATGACTCCCAGTCAAAGGTACACCCTGTATAACAAAAACAATTTTTATAGCATTATTTCAACCTCTTACAAAAATACATCAATGCTGAAAAAATTTCAAAAAGTGTTGTTTTTTGACAAATATTCACCAAGATGATTTCTTTAGCTTAATATACATGGAAGATAAAAAGGAAAACATTTTTTTTTTAATTTTTGGAGGGGCGTAACTTCAAATTATTTTATACCAAATACAAAATAATTTTATACCAAAGACCCTTATTAATTTTCATCAGAGAAGTGCCCTTTACATTTTGTAGGTGTTATTTAGATACACCCTGTATATATATTCATAAAAAAAAATTATTTTGGATTATGTATGCAAAATACCTATTTACAAATGTCCAAAAATTTCCTTATTAAAAAAAGAGGTTATTCGATATCACATAATAAAAATTGCATCTCGTATCAGTACGTTAGGATGCAGTTTTTGTTGTTCAATTTTTCTCAAAAATCAATCTTTGACAACTTTTTATCTACCTCCTTGAGAAATACAAGAAATCCACCAAACGCGTTGAAATTGATCCACGCAATGTGCAAAAACTTCTGATGTGAAGTTTATCAAACAATAGGGCAAATTTTTAAATTAATCTATGAAAAAATTCATATGTTTGGAATTAGAAAGAGACAAACAATTATGATTGATGAATTCCATGAACTTAAAAACTTGCCTATATTGTTTATCAACACCATAATGCTGAAATTATTTTCTCAAACACTTCTATCGTTCATATGTCAATTGGATTTTAAAAAATGGAACTTACTATTTCAGGCGGCAGCATTACGACTCATAATTCAATCGGTGCAATAAAAATAACAAATGGGAAAGAAATAGATAGTTATAATGAAAACGTGGGAGAAGGTAACGAATTAACCCACCAGGAATCCATCGAACAAGGAACAGACCCGCTGGATCCTACGACAAACCTCTCCGCCGTTATAACTAAGTCGATAAACATTCAGACGAACAGTCACACAGACAAGAATATAATTAGTGACTTCAAAGTAACGCAGAGTAAGAGAATGAGTAGATCGGCGGGGTCTTACACTGACGACGAGTCTAGTTTGGTTCTGAGAACGACTTTTGAAATAGGTTCGGAGCCGCAGTTGAATATTTCGAATGATTTAAATCTCAATAGTGGAGAGAACGAATCGATTATGCTGCCCGAGTGTCTGCAGGAAGGGCAGCAGGAATTCTTGGAAAAGTGGTTGAAAACTACACCGAATTTTATAAGTTCCGACGAGAACTTGTATCCAGACGAGTATCTGGGGACGTCCTCAGGGACGGCGTCCCAAAATAGCCCTCTCATGGCCAGAACTGATGCTTTGCTTAGTACCAAGTCGTTCAATTTGGTGAAACCTAAGCCGTAGAAACGATTATGTATGTAATATTAATTGTACACCTTTACTTATTTAATTATGAATGTATAGTTAACTGTCATAAAATGTACAGTATAATTTTGTATCTTTTATTTCAGTTCAGATAATATATTTTTAATGTTCTTTGAATCTGTTTTCTCGCGTCCGACGCGAATAGGGCGTGATTTATTTTGTTTTTTGTTGATTTTATCCGTAAACTGTAATTTTATTTTATGTGTATTGGAGCAGAAAATAATGGAAATAAGATTTATTTGAATGCTTTGTTGTACAAGGTGTCTCGCAAGAGCAGCAATATAATTTTTTTTTGACAAATGTAGTTTTTGAAGTCTTTTATTTAAGAAACCATTCAACTGCTTTTGCTCGTGTTAACAATAGACGGATATTAATTTACTTTCATTTCGAAGACGGAGCAGTGTCGTCGAGAAAAGTTACTAAAAAACTGCAAATAAAACGTGTTTAATAAAAAAAATTAAAATTGAGTTTTTAAAACCCAGCGAGTTATGGACAGAGTGGTGCCAAAACTGAAGAAGCGAATTTCTCCAAATTTAAGAACATTTTCTTATACAGGGTGAATCAGATTCAATGTCCGATCCGAAGGGATCAAAATAAATGGGGTTTTCATATGAACACTTTTTAAAAAGTGATCTCTGTTATACGCACTAATTTGGAATATACTTTTTTATTCTCGTAACTAATGAAAAATTGCAAATAAACTTTGTATTATTTTTCTGTGGCTGGCACAATTTTCAAAAGAGTGATTCGAACAAGAAATTCGTTGACACGTTCCATAAAAATTGGCTTGTACTTGCAATGAAAAATGAAAATTGAGGTTTTAAGTCTCTCACAGCCCAAAACTTTCATAAATGATTACAAGCCACGTAATGAAAGGTACCTCTAAGGTGAGCATCTGCACACAAATTTTTTTAAAGTTGCACAGCCGTTTTTGTATTCTACGCACAATGGGCTTGTTCACCATTTTTTAAGTTTAATTTTATAAAAAAATTGCATCTAAAAATGGCAAAAATCCAAATTTCATTAAAAAAAGTAAAGTTTAGGTCAGAAAAATTTTTGAACATTTTTGCTCCCATACGCTTTCGTACAGCACTGTTAGCGAAAAAATTAGAGGGAACATTGCACGTGACCAATAATTTTATTTCCTTGCTAAAATTAAAAATTCTTGAAACAATAAGATCAAGATTACATTCATTGTTGTTCTCGGGCGAGGCTCTGTGGGGCGAACTCCACTCCAGTCGCAGCGAAGCTTTTGGTTACTTTAAACTGGAATGTGAAATTTTAGTAAGAAAAGTGATTATTCTGATATAACCAATTCTGATTTTAGTCATTGGTATCTAGCTCTAAAATTAAAAAGGGAGGACACTTTTTTATACCAAATTTGTATAAAATATCTTTAAAAGTGCTCAAGCTATGGGTATCCAAACATCACGATTTTTTGACGTCATTTGTATAAAATATAATTAATTAATAGTCAAATTGTCGTGATTTATTCAGAATAAAAAACATCACTTAAAAATCATACAACAAACATAAACAAAATGAAACAATTATGCAAACGATTCTTTGGCTATTTCTTAACACCTTTCCCACTAACGAATCTCTTCTGAGGGAACTTTGATTTCTTTTCTTTACCCTTTTGCTGTGTCATCTGCAGTGTTGAATTTCGGTCAGTCGCCATGCTAGATGTGGGTATAACGAAAATGTTCGGATCAATTTTATTGATATCATCCGGATTATGTTTTGGAATTTCAACCAGGTTTCTATCTTCGTTCAAGACACCTGGCGCTATCAACTGAAATATTTCTCTGGCCCATTCTGGTAGTCCTTCCCTGGAAACGATATACTGCCAGCATGGTATACCCAAATGTGCTAAGCACATGCGGAAATAAGTGGTAAGGTCCTCGGCTAAATAATTGAAAGACATAGGGCTGCTATAGAGCCAAATGCTAGGTATGCAGTATGTATTTATGTAAACCAAAACAACTTTTGCATAGTTATCTACAGCAGCTAGTTCAAAGACTTTGCTTTCCCTCGACAAAACTAGCATGTAGTTCTTGCCGTACTGTTCAATTTGGGCTACGTTTTTGGTTTCATATCCGTATATTCTTTCTATTTCGTTTAGGCCGTTTATTTTTATGCTTCCTTCTCGTATTAAAGTGTCCGCATTTTCTGTTGAATTATAATCGTAGGAGAAATCGTAAGTATATAAAAATCCATTAGTAGATGAATAAAATGCTCTCAAATCCTCTGGTAAGATTACCGAGTTGTTGTGCTCCCATGCCCGTATGTCTATCTGTCGCACACCTGGAAATCTTTTTAATGATATATTGGAGATGCAAGGTGATTTTTCCAGTACTTTTGAAAGACCTAGAAGCAAGTTTTCATAAAATGAATCTTCTGAAACCTTGTCCACTACAAATCCCATATTTCTGAAATAAGAAAATCTGCTGTAATTAGTTGGGCCACTCTTTTAATGGCAATGTTACAAATTCTTTTATATTTACTTGTTCATATTTGAAACGAGGAATTTTAGTGCAAGAAGCTTGTATGTCTTTATTTGAGACACATTGTCAAAAATGTGCCAAGTTTTTTATATTTACATGACATGCTTTCAAATTGCAGTAGTTCAAATTAACATAATTTTTTATCTATTTAAAAATGCCAACTATTTTTTTTTCTTAGATAAGTACATCTACCTTAATTTATCTTGTACAGGGTGTTTTTTTTTAAATTTTGGGTTCTTAGTGATGGCGCCTTCCAGTTTCACGAAATGCCTCCAACGACAGATTTTCAGTGACAGTGCCTCTCGGTACCTTGCCTCAATGATTGGCAGATGTATATACCAATTCAGTGAATTTTTGCTTATAATTAGGTGAATAGCCCAAATTTCATCTGTCTCTATCGAACATATTTTATAGATATTTGAAAAAAAATATATTTTTTTAATTCACCGCGCTAAATCTCAAAAAACCTGCCGTTAAACATTTGGTTCTTTAAGTTTCTTTTAATATATATTATTTTTATTTATAGGTAAGTAAATTTTAAAGAAATACCTACCTATTTATAGGTACAATTATTTCCATCAGAAAATATCTAATTGAATGGAGATAGGTATATATCTAAAATATTTCACTAGGCACATATCATAAGTACCTACCTAAAGAGTTAATACGACAAAATAGATTTCATTATTCGTAATCATTGATTAAAACAGAAAATGGAATGATTGTTCAATATAAGTTTTCAGATTTATTACAACTTCAATAATTGCTTGTATGATTAACTTTTTGTTCTATTTTTGAATTTTTAACAGATTCAACAACACACTTATTCATACCTATATAAATAATAATACGTTAAAAATTCCCTGAGGATGTTTATATGCACAGACGAAACAAAGTGTTCTTAACAAGGCAATACTAAGTTCAACATATATTCCTAAATTGTTTTAAGATAATAAATTTGTAAAAACATTCTTACCTTCAGTGTATTTAAACAGACAGAGTGCAATTCTACTTGATTCATGCCTGCATGTCTTTGACTTTAACCAAATATAGAATGTTATTTCAATACTTTATAAAGAATTAGGTCGAAAAATTAATCAATAACTGAGAGCCGCGGGCAAATTCAAACCAGGTAGCCAACAAGTCGGCGCGTTAGTTGGCGGCTGCGCAGATCAATCTTAGATGTCAGAGTAACAATATTTTAGTTCAATGGTGTTTCCCGTGTTGATAAGTTGGATTTGATGTTGTGCAAAAATGTGGTGGTCAAACAACAAATGGACTTTAAGCAGTAGGATATTCCACAAAACAAATCATGACCGAGTCATCTGAAGAGTAAGTACCGTTTAACCCCTAAGATACACCCCTCGAATGGGGTTGTGAGTCGGCCATGATTTTCCATACAGTTTGCTGGCTATATTTAACAGGAAATTCGTTTAATTGTTCCTTAACAATGTGTAATTAGCTAATTGAAGTTGTAGTAGTAGGCATTTGTTTTCAGAGCTGCCTTATCTGCGTTGTTTCTGTCATAACTCGATGAAGTATCATTCATTGTCGACTAATCAATGGTTCCATTTTCCATTCATAATACTGGCTCATGAATGTTTCTTGGTTTATTCTCAATCGCCGGTGTTCAGGCTGAAATTGAGTGTTTGTTATAGTTTTCCGACTCCTACGCAATGTATAAAAACATACTTGTGAATGAATCGGTCTTAGTTTTATCTAATTTTGTATCATTACCTGTAAAGTAGGTTGGGCTCAAGTATTTTTTTTTCTTTTATTTATGACTTCCCTTGTTTTGTTTCACCACGCGTTATGAAAACATCTGGCCAACCGGAACATTTGAATTAATTATTTGGTTTAAGTAACTAGTGTGTAATAATTTAGGTGGGACACCTGGTTATCAATGAAAATCTTATTGAAACGTTTGCATTGATACCGATTACTATAAATATTTATTGAATTGTTAATTACCGTATTTGAGTTGATTGGACCGGAGCGTATTATAAAGCTACTTACCTTTTTGCGTACATAAATATTCATCAAAATGTGGATATATTGGTTGCACCTAGAAAAAAGAAAAAAAAGTGCTGGGGCTAAATACCTACTTACCTAAATTTATATTTTTGGAGAAAAAATGTCTATACTAAGAAAAATAACAATTTTTATCAAAAATAGGTATGTTTTGTATTTTTTTTTTATATATTGAAAAACTATCGAGCAAAAATTTTCATTCAATTACGGAAAAGTGCATTTCATTTATTATTGTCGAAGGTATAATGGTACCATTAACAAATAAATACCTATTCCTAGACATCTTAAAGTTGTAATTAAATTGCAGCCCATCGTTTACACGTTTTATGTAACATTCATTCAGCTTTTATAGCAGCGGTGAATTAATTTTATAATCACAATTTTATACCACTTCGGTGTCTGAACCACTAGGTATATTGCAATTAATTACAAATTATGTAGATCGAAATTTATTGATAACTGTATCAATATGCTTCTCTTACAATAAATAAGTATTTACGTATTTAGTAAGTAGGTACACATAATATTGACAAATTGATGATTTTAATAATGCCCTACAATCTTGCATCATTTTTTAATCTGAAACGCTCGCTAAAACGTAACGAATAAAATATACTCTATAATGATAAGAATAGACAAATATAACGGATTGTAAACAGTTTTTGTTGTGTCTTTGACAAATAGATAGATGAAGTATTAAAGAAAATTAAATTTGAACCTAAAATATAATACGTATATTTTTTTTTTCGTTTAGACTAATTTGGATAGAGTAGTTAGTGTATATGCATAAAATATAATATGCTTAAGTGCAAAGCAGGCCATTACACATCAGTGAAATGGTTGGTGTTAGGTACAGCACTGAAAAAAATCAAAGTGCAAATTCTCGCGATAAAAGTGCAGAAAGTATAGTCTATTATTACTTATTTCTACAATTACTATCATATCTGAAATATACAGAGTGCTCGGAAACGAATGCATGATCCTTCAAGTAAAAAGGGAATCGAATTGGATCAAGACCTTAGCACGATCTTGCATCCCTAAAAAGTAACCGACATTTTTTTTGTTCCATTTTTTTGAAGATAAATATTATTTTGTAGATGTTTTAGTGAAATTTAGAACAAGGTTTTTCTGTTATAATCAAAGATGAACATCCATTTATTTTTTACCGAAAAGTTTTGAGGAGATACTTTATTCCCTTTATTTACTGCAAAAAGACCTATTCTTATTTACTGTATGGTTAAAACGCATCTTTTCAGAGAACAGTGAATTTCCGTTTTTGGCTCTATCAGTTGCGAAGGACTTTATTTGTTTACTAATTATTGGAGGTGAAATTTAATGCTGGATGGTTCCATCCGGTCTACAGGTCCCTGTAGACCGCAAAGTAGTTGTTTCTCACAATATGGTTAGGTAAAAAGTATATAAAGGGTATATGGGCGTATTCTAATCTAATTAAACTTCACCCATTTGCTAAACTTGTACATTTGTTAAAGTCTAGAAAGCTACTGTTGAAAATTTAAATTTTTTCTCTAGAATGGTGTATTCTATTGGCTTTGCAACAAGTTCACCTTTTTTCAGTAGATAATAGTCGTAAGACACCTGCAAACAGAAAATTGCTCGGGCATTCTTAGTGACATCTATGTTTTAGGTAAAAAATACACCCTAATTTCTTAAAAAGTGAAATAAATAAAATATGACAAATATTTTTGAAGGCCTGTAACTTTTTTAGGAATCCAAATAGTTCGTACTGAGTTAACTTGATCAAATTCTGTTTATTTTCATACGAGGAAGCTACGCTTGATGTATGACACATTTGTATGTGATGTATGTTGTAGATATATGTATATGCACCTATCTATATACGTACCTATGGTATCTAATTATCATTAGTTTTATATTTCCTGCTGTATCAGAATCAGATTTTGTGGCCTCCACCTCATTACGGTCATTTAGTTTGGTTTCACGATTGATATGTTTAGTTTATGAGGTATTCGTGGTTAGCGTAAAGCTGTCATTAAAAAAGTTTCACACAAACTAGTTTTGTATATATTTTCAATTAATTCGGTATTCCTGTCACATTGAAAATTTGTTAAATACATCCTTGCGCCAGAAGGAACAGTCAAACCCATGACTCGGCTTTTATAGATTTAGTTTTACTGTGAAAGTAAATAATTGTTCTCAACTATTTAATAATAATCATTCCAACACATGTATTTGTTCTCAAAACACAAATTTACTTATACTCATATGTGACAGTTTTGTTACTTTGTGTATCTCTCTTTTTTTCAACCTTTCACAATTTAAAGAATGGTTTGAAAAACATGCTTCACTATTTAGCAAAATAACCACGAACTCTTTTGGTTTTCTTTTTACCGTATTACTTTATTTTCCCAATATTGTGCAACACATGCTCACAATTTTTCAAATTGTCCCGTTTTAATATGTTCACATTCGGTGATTCTAACATCAAAGGTCTCATCTCATTTCCAGGTCAAATTTTTGATAAAATTATCTGTAACGTAACCAGTTCTTTTTAAGGTTTTGTCAAACGTTAACCACACTTTACTGTTTTGCAGAATGTTTTGTTGCTGTCTTTGAGATTTATTTTAATTTTCAATGTTTCCAATCATCATGAAAGTCCTATCAACAAATCTTTTTGGATATTGATTATCCAATAACATATTTCTATGAACCTTGTTGCATTCCCGAAAATTTGATCTTTCGAATGTGAATTTTGCTTTATCATATAATTATTTTACTATATTTAATTTTTTTAGTCTTGTTTGTAACTCACAAATCCCACAATGATCACAAATTAAATAAATATAATACCGATGAATTACAAAAGGGTGACACATTTGTATATATAAATTGAATATTAACTTCATGGTAGATAATACTATATTTGGTTTATTGGCATTAATGAAATAGGAGCTGGTAAATACGCAGAGATACTCCGTAGGTGAAGCTCTATAGGACCAGTCAGAGAAAAGTTTCGTTATGCACCGCTAGAGGGCACTTTACCTAGAACTCAAAATTTGTTTTGTTCATAACTTTTTTCTCTTGCTAGTCATCACAGAAATTTAAACGTTATTGAAAAGGGAAACAGTATCAGAAAAAAATTATGTACTTTTTGTTCAAGCCGATAAATGTAACCGTTTACCAGGCAATCGCTAATAAAGTGTTATTAAACATCAAATTTTTGACGGACTTTCAAAACACCTTATATACCCCAGCAGCACAAACGTATTGGAAAAATATTTTTTGTCCGACATTACCAGAATATAAATTTTTTAAATGTACTTACTGGTTGTATATTGACCGTTTTGGGAAATTATTTACATTTTGGCTAAATCTTCCTTAAATTCAATATGACGCCAATATTGGGACCATATCTTGTGAGTAAATCTCTTCTTTTTTCTACAAATGCGCCAATATATCTTCTTTATTTAAGTATTTCGAACTTCGATTAAAGTTTAGATTGGAAAAGCACTTTTTAGCGAGATGGGACGCTGGTTCAACCTTTGACCTCTTTAAAATATTAAACCAATAGCATTTCGAAAGTACTTCTTCTAAAAGAGGATCCAGTTCATAGATTCAGCTTTCAGACGTTTTTAAAAAAAGCGAGCAGTTTTGATAAACAATAAACTGGTCTGTAAGTACACAAAATGGGCCAAATATCAAGCACGAGAAAGTTAAAAACAATAAAATAATGAATAATAAACTAGCACCTACAATATATCACTAAAAGAAAAATTAAATCTAATCCAATATGCATTTGTGGCATAATGCTACAAATATGTTATAGACTAATTAGGTAGTAAGGTTTACGTAGGTAAATTAAAAACTTTATCTTGCTAAAATATCGGCATTAGTTGGTGTTTGTTTATATCTGTAGTATGTGTTAATAGCTAGCGATTTTTATAGTTGCAAGTAAATATTTTTCTACATTACGTGAATTATACACTGTTTTTAATGTTTTCAATATAAAACTTGGTAGGCTGAAGCGTTAACTCCTGTCTTTGGCTCAATATTTTTTTTATTGCGCTAGCAGTTTATAAGCATTTGTGGATGTCATAACTTTACCTCTTAATATTTGTTTTATACGTGGTATTTATGTTAAAATAAAAAATATTTCTAAATATTCTTTGTAAACGAATCATAACTATTGGTGACGTTAAATTTAGGGACGTGCAATGTTGGTCGTGTAAGCTCGACAGTCACATGGTTTGTAAACATTCATGAAGGCATAAATCAGGTAAATATTCAGGAAGTTTTCAACTATTTTTATAAATATGTTCTCC